ACATTTAATATGTGGATGAGCAGACATCCCTATTGTAAAAATACGATAAGAACAAACAAACTAGTTACAGATAATAATTTGACTTTATTTTAACTATGTTTTACGATTTATCATATTTCATTAAATCATTTCATCCGTTATCTATATTGCCCGAATTGTATACTTTGCCCGTAACATATTCAAAGTCTATGCAATCGCGACTCATATATAAATATAATACATTTATTTATATAAATTAATTTAGGAGTATTAACAATTAATTTATTTTTATTTTTTATTATTTTATTAAATAGTTTAAGTTAACTGCTGTATCATTTATTTCACAGAAACCATTTATTTGATGTTTTAGCAAACATTTAATTTTTAATAAGTTAAAATTGTATAAAACGCCTATATAAAATGGAACGCGGAAAAGTTGGTTGAGTATATTATAGCAGTTCAAGGCTATCTATATTCAAATACCTCCTATTCAAAATAATGTAGTACCCATGGAACTGTGTAGAAATCACTTAAATACTTTATACTGTTCAATGGGTAAAGAAATATTATAACTTTCAAGTAGGATAAATATATTCGCTTAAATAGTCCGTTGAATATTATCAATATAAGTAAAATATTAATAAGTCTTGAATACACCACAAAACTATATTAGTGTTATTATTATTTTTATTTATATCATATAGTTACAGTTATAGTTATTATTATTATAATTGAATTGATTTTTACAATTCTAAGATAAACAAGTTTAGATATTTTTTCCAAGTTCAAATAATTATAAGTCTTCATATTTCTTGTGTAAGAACCAAATTTTGTTTTTTATATAATTTTAAATAATAAAATTAATTATAACATACCTACATTTTATAAGCGTATAATTTTCTATTATTAGAATATATTTTAAAGTGGCCAAGATATAATCTAAAATCCAAAATTGGAAAGATACATTAAAAAAAAAAAAAATTGTTTATATTATGAATAAATGACAATCATTGATGATTTTAATTGACCCAATGTATTTTTTTACTATTGCAATTAAATATTGTTTATTGATGAATAATAATGATGATTAACTTTATAAATTAGTATTCGTGAATACAATTTGTTTTATTAATCATTTGTACAAATAATAGTTATTTAAGTAATAATTTTTGCCATTGAAACCATAAATACATAGTTAATTACTTTTACAAGTTAAATGTTGATACTAATGTATTTATTTATTATTTATTAAACAGTAATAGTATTTTGTAAAAATATTTTTATGAAATCAATATGTACAGTTATTGAATTGAATAATACGTTATTTATTAACGTAATGTTGTGTTTCGTTATAATTATCATCAAAATATTCAAAATGATTATTTTTGTAATGAATAATAAAAACAACTATATTATTATAACTATAAACTCTAATTATTTGGATAATGTATATGTTACGATTAAGTCAGAAATTGAATTTATAAACATGATAAACTTAGTGACAGTTATTAATAATCGTTTTGGTTTTTCATTATATTAATAAAACATATTTTAATAATAATGTACACGTTTTTGTTATCAATAACTGAATTGTCATTCCCCATCGCGATATTTTATACACTGCACGTGTTAGTGATTTCTGTACATTTATCCCCAAAAAAAGTTCTGTGCTTCAAAAAGTTCGAGTTTCCAAAAAGTGCGTGTTTGGTCATTTTGTGTACCTGTGAAAAAACGTAAGATAAGAAATACAAATCTATTTATTTTACTATACATTTAAAAAACTAAATGTACTACTGTGTTAGTCCAATTATATTTTATATAATATAGTGGCATGCGTTGATATTTTTTAAGTTAATAATTTAAATTGAAGAAGTTAACCATCCGTCTTGGTATTTATTCAAAATTTCCTTTACAATGTTTCTCTAGAAAGAAGTATTAGACTTAGTTCTTTGACTTTTATTTGAATGCAAAAGTAAAAATATTTATACGTTTTCGTAATCAATAACATATCATTTTTGTCAATATACTCTGGGCAGGAATACTTTCTAAAATTATTTTGTAAATATTAATGATAATTTCAATTTAGTGGTCAATGGTTCAACGTTTATTGAATTTGAAACTAATAAAAAAAATGTATCAAACACTAGTAGGCACATACCGTCAATCATTGTATTGGATTAATACATAATTAAAGATGATGGTATTAAAACTATAGTGTCATCATTTGTTTCAACATAAAATATCATATGAACATCTAATTAAATTATTTAAATCCACCTAAATAGATCATTTTTGGCTAATTATCAAAAAAATATAAATTCATGGCATTTCAGGATTATCTTTGTTAAAAATATTTTTATTGTGTACATCTTTGTTAACTTTCTGTAAGGATGCAAAATAAATGTAACGTAAAAAAGTATTAAACAACATTATTTTTTGGCTAGGTGAGCACCACTTACTTAGGTAGTTTATAATAACCCTCATGTATGTCACTATTATATATTATGAATTTATGATATACCTATTGATAAATAGGTAGGAAGGAGATATTGGGTACAATTGGAACCTTTTTTACAATATTATTTATTTCTTCTAAGATTTAAAATTTTTCTTTAGTTACACTTTTAATCATTAAAATAAATTAATACCTTTATACATAAGTGAATATATTCACAAATACCTAAATAAATGAAGATTAAAAAAAAAGTACCAAAAGGACCAGTAACAATAGTAACATACTTATTTAATTTTATAATTTTTAAATGGTAAGATTTAATCTTTTTAACCATTTCATACTAATAATTAAATTAAATTAAAGATTTGTGAATAAAAATATACTTACCTTTTAAATTGGGTTTTGTTTGAATTTTATAGTTTTATATTATTAAAATACTTATTATAACTTTACATAAACAATACAAAATGTTGGCATTATAAAAAAATACCAGTACCTTACAAATAGAGGTAAGAATATATTCCATTTTAATATAATTTGTTTATTGAATTTGTCAATATAATTATAATTAAATAATAACATACTTAAATTAAAAATAATACAATTATGTAAAAAAAAAAAAAAATTAACCGTTGAAACTAGGCATTGTTACCGATTTAAAATTATTAAAATATTAATCAAATAATAGATAAATCAACATAAATAAAATAAACCAACATTGTGGAAGAACTTATTGCTAGTGTCACAATATATAACTTCATTGCATTCATTGTACACTATATGAATAAAATTATATTTGATTTTTAATTATTTTAAATAAGTTATGATTACATTTAAAGTGTTTATTGGTTTATATCTCGTACGTTAGTAAATTTAGTTTTTGTGTAAGAAATAATCACTTAATTTTATTTAAAAACAAACTATTATTTATTTAGCTTATTAAAAATCATATATATTTTATGTCTATGTATAATTATATAATTTATTTTAAAATTTAAGTTTGTTTCAAGTGTATTATCAAAATATTATATAATTACAAGTCTTAAATCATAATGAGTATAAAAAGTAATGAATAAATAATAAAATGAAAAAAAAAACAATATATAGGTATGTCTTATTATAAATTATGTCTAATTAATAATTATTTATCATGAATATTATTGTTATTAAAAATTTGTTATGTATTTATAAATACAATAATTTATAATTATGTAAATTATAATTATATTTGTATTTTTATTGTGTATATGCTCTAGATAAATAAACTTTCGTTGGCAGCATAACCGGAATGAATGTGTTTACTTTTTCTCACATAATATTTTAACCTTTTGTATCTATTTATAATTTTAACTCTTAGCTATTTATGCGTTATTAACAATACAACCAAATTCCAAAGTTTAAACTTAGAAGTTCCCAAGAAGCTTATAGTTATATAACTATAACGTTGAATAGTATTGATAGGCAAAACATAATTTGGAAAGTTAAATGGAAATTAATATTTAATATTAAACATGGAAGTCAATTTTGTGATGTATAATAAGAGTTACGAAATACCACAATAATGACTTCGCATGGTAAACTAAACATAGATTGCATTTGATAATATCAAATGCGAGTTACATTTGTAACGGCGTATGGCTTAGGTCAAATAACTTAGCATAAAGGGTCTAGGGAAAGTCACTTGTACGTTACTAGGCTTTAAATATTAACCTCACATCACACAATAAAACGTTCATGTGACGTCTCATGCACTGCATTTTGCACACAGAGTTGATAAATTATTCAACAATTTCGGCAGCTATCATTGGATAATATAAATAATTAGCATTTAGTGTGCGTATCTAAAGAAATATATCTACGTGCAGGAGATTTGGTAGTAATATAGCATACTACTATATATTCATATTTATTCTTACTTAAATAACAGACGGCCGTGTTAAACATAGGTGTATTATTGTAATATGTGATCTATATTCTTACGGAGCAATACTCAGTATATTAATCAAATATTATTCTGATTTTTTAGGTGTCTTTAACATATCTATAACTTATCAACAGGACTTGGGACTTAATGCATTTGCATATTTGTTCGAGAAGTAAATAGAATAAATCTGATATGGTACAAATTTTTATTATGGTGTTGGGAGTTTTAAGTTTAAAATTTTATTATGCATATTTTTTCATATTTTGGATTTTTTTCTTCAATTGCATATTTCTGAGATTTATTGATTTAAACTGCATATTTTAAAATAATTGTTGATAATTTACTCGTAAATCAAAAATAATAATGTAAAATTTTCATTTTTGACACGTTATAAAAATGTTATTTAGAAAACTAAACGCGCTGATACATTATTCATTCTAAATTAATTTTATCTATATGAATTCGTCTACAATATTGCCGATAGGGCGATACTTAATATACTCGATACTCAATAGTGTTATTCCACTTATTTCATTCGGGGAACCCATTTTATTTTTAGCTCTGAAGACAATTTTACTTTTATTAATCTGTCTTTCAAAGTATTATTTTGTTTGTCACTACTCAGTAATCGACGAACCACGAAGACGATCGTTTTCTTGTTAATGCATTACTGCATATTTTGTCGTGTTAGTCTTCGTTTTCGTATTTGTTTTCGTGGCTCGTGTCTGTTAATTATTAGTGCTCGTATTCGTGGTATAATTTTCTTAAATTAATAAAAAATAAATATGTCGAAAGAAAAACAATCACAAATTAGTCGTTTGAGATGTTTCATTTCGGAATTTGATAGTAGTAGTAGGTATGTGCAAGATATGTTTTTTTTTTAAATTAAATTTGTATTAGTACGTATTTTTTAATTAAAAGTGAATGCATATTTAAGGGCATATTTTTAAGATTTTAAGCACAAAAAACCCCGAGCCCTGCTTATCAGTAATATTTGAATATTTTTTTTTGTACAAGAACTACCCACCATTTCTGTAACTTTAAGATATTCAAGCATTCAAAATAATAATTAACACTTTTTCTGGTTTTTCATATACTTTTATGGGACTTCGAACATATTAAGTAAATTAATCAATGAATTTGATTATATAGATCAGCTACACAAAAAAAAAATAAAATAAAGTGGAATTAACTATTTTATAATTTTTATATAATATGTATACCTACTTTATATTAATAAAATAAGAAAATAAATTAAAAATTTTTAAATTAATACTCGTAAGTTAATATATAAATAAATAAAAGCTCTGCTGGAGTAATATTTAACATAACCTAATATTTATCATGATTTAATGGTATGAAAAAAAAAAACAATAATTATGCCATTTTTAATATATAACGATAGAAAAATTTGCTACTCTTGGCAAAGGGGAACTAGTAGTAGTAAGTACTTAAGTACTTAAGCACAACCGAAGAAAGTACTTATAAATTTATCAGTACTTTCTTCGGTTGTGCTATTTATTAGGTTTTTTTATTTAATATTTGCACAACCCTTAGTAGAGTTTTGAATTGGTACCAACTTCCGCTTCGGACAAATAAAAAAAATCTCTGATTTAACTTTTTGTGCCAAGACAATCACGTATGGCTGGTACACTATAGGATTTAGAAACCGCTAAATTTAACGAGTGGGCTGAACAATGAACATATAGAGCATTTGGGTGAATTTCTTTAATGTAACCTGGACACCATTACATTTTCTGGTCATTGCAGCTGCCCCGTCATATCCTTGCCCACGTAAATATTGAGTATTGATTCCAAATTGTTGAAGATTTTCTAGGATTAAATTTGCTATTCCTTTACCAGTCATATCATTAGTTGGTACAAATTGTAAAAATTCTTCAGTAAGTTTTAAAGTGTTTGAGTTGATATATTTAACACATAACGATACCTGTTCAACTTCTGAAATATCCGCAGTTTCAACTGCAAGAATTGAAAAACATTTTGCTGTATTTACTCTAGAAATAACTTAATTTAATAAAATTTTGTTACAAGCATCAATCATATTAATTTGACTTTTATGACTAGTATATTTCATCTTTCCCGAGCTTTCCAGATAGATTTTCATTTCAATATCTCCTTGAGCTCGGTATCGTAAAATTTCTTTGAAATTACCTTCATTCTTATAATTTATAACTTTTGAGTCATTGATTTCAATTTTTCCTGAATCACAGTGTCTTCTTAATGCCAAGTTTTGACAATCGCACAAAATAACTGCCTCAATTATTGAAATAATATGTTTTCGATTTTGCAATATCTGTTTGTTTTTTCGTTGTCAATTATTTTATCGATTGCCCTTGTTGGATTTTTAAGCATGTTTAAGAAATTATCGGCATCTAGTAAACTCTTTTTGTGATATTCTAAATTCGAGTGATTTTTAAAGTCTTCCAATGCATGTTTCCAATCATCATATTTTTTTAATACGAATGCTTCTAATTTTTGGTTATTAATACCGGCTTCATTTTTAGTAAAAGCAACACAATATTTGCAATATCATTGTTTACTTCTGAATAGACCAACCAAGGAAAGTTAATAAGTCATTTATATTGAAATTTCAACTTCAAAACTTTTTGTTGTTTACCAACTACTGATATTTTGATAGGAAAATTGTAATTAATACCAGGGACCCAAATTTTGTTCAAAACGTCTTCTATTTCATTTTGCGTTAAAAATTTATTTGTGTAATGTGCTATGTCAAAAATATTATAACTGGAAGATGTACGATTAATATCTGTAGTCGAAGATGCGAACTGAGTGATAGGTGTATCAGATGCAGATATAGCTGATGGTAATGAGGAACTAGAAGAACTTATAACTGTTTGAGTTGGATTCATTATTGAGGGTGGTTTTGAAAAAAAAGATTGAATTTTTGATTGTTTTTTTTCAGCCATGACTACTATTACGATTTTACGGTTTCGTGCGATGTCGATGTGGTCCTATAATTTTAACAGTATTCAGTTGTGAACTTTTGGGTTTACAGTAACACTATTCACGTTGATAGTTAAAACATTAAAATTAAAAATACCTACTCATCGTATTATAATTTACACAAATAATATCTGTTTGAAAGACAACTAAATATAATACTAATTTATTATATTTAGGTATTTATTATTATTTATTAGTTATCACTAGGGAACGGATTTATATGTAATAAAAATACATAAATATGTACATATGTATGTAAGTATAATTTATAAAATATGTACTAAAACCATCCAAATATGTAGGAAAAAAATTTTTAAAAAAAAAAAAATATATAATTATTAAATTATCAAAATGATTTGTTGCATTGAATTATTACAATATATTTTAAATTATCAAATATTAAATGTCGCCTATTAGATCTGAAAATATTTTTAAAACGGCTAAATGATCGTTCCACATCAACCTACATCGGTTGATTTAAGCATATTTGAAGGGCATATTATTAGAAGGCGATAATTCCAAATTTTTAGAAGGGTGTCTGCCACTAATTATGTCATTAATTGATTTAAAATCAATATGACCTGAAATTTTTTTCTGTAAAAACATGAATTTTCTTTTTTACTACTTCTCCTATTGGTCCGTTTACGAGTTTTCATTTTGCAATCGTTGATTCGACAATTTGCATACTTTCATTCAAGGACATATTTTTGTTTTTAATTTTATAATTGTATGTGCAATAAAACTAAAATTCACTGAGATGAAAATTAAATTTGTTTTCAATGTTTCATTTTGCATAATATTTTGAGCTTTTCTAATAGCGATAAAAGTTCTGGATCTAAATTTGAAATAATTTTTTATATTTTTGTATGAAGAAGACGTATGAATGATGAAATAATAAAATATGTTTAAAAATATTTACAAATTAGTGAAATATGTAAAAATATGTAATTATACCAAAATATGTAAAAATATGTAAAATAAAAGTAGCATCATATTAATAGGAATGATTTAAATTATGAACATTTCTTATCAAATTTTAAATATCTTGTTTTAATAAAAATATGTATTTACATATAAATCCGTTCCCTAGTTATCACTTATTAGATAGGTAACTTCTGTACTTAGAAATACAATATATACTAAGTTAAAAAAAAAATCATTAACTCACCCAGTCTTGTGTATTTATAATTAATTTTAATATTTCAAATGCTTAATATTAACAATATTATTTATTAACTATTTATTATTAATTATTTATTTATTTATTATTATTTATTATTAATTATTTATTAACAAAACATTAAACATATGTTTAATGTTTTGTTAATAAACAATTTTAATGTTATAAACTCTAACTAATCTTATCTAAATACTTATCTATGGTTTATGGAGTTCAATGAATAGTTTTTGACATAAACTTCTTCAATGGCAGAATAGGTAGAACAGAATGAACGAAAATTTCATAATATTATTTAACGAAAATGTTTAACATGGTAATTTACGATAGTGCTATAAAAATAGAATCCATTGCACCGTATTATTGTCGTTCACCCGAAATTCAACGATTATAACGTAATCGGTTTTTTCTCCATTATCCGTTCGAGTTAGTCGAGATAATGACAATATTATCCTCACGCAACTAACTGACTGTGTACGATTAAATCTCTATTTAGATTAATATATGGCACCCATAATTTCGTTAAAAAAATATTTTTTCGTTGTTGGTAAAGTATACTCAATAGTCTATACTATATATTATTATTATGACGAATGTTTTATGCATACATGTAATTAATAATAATAAATTCATTAATAATATTAACATTTTTTTTTTTTGGCCCTAGGGGGGTTTGGACCCGAAAACCTCTCCCGTATGTACGCCACTGGGCTCATGGTTGTTCTAGGCTTTAGTTTCTTTAATTAAATTTAACTTAGAAAATGAACATTCCTACCAGTACAGTTCGTAATCATCATTGATAAAAAAATTCGGAAAGGTATTATTATGTTCAAAAATGTTACTTCTAGTCTATTTGATTTTAAACATTTGTATGTAGTAGAAATACTGAATTCAGAAGTATAAATTTCTAATAAATACGCTTTTAAGTGTTACATTTTAAAATTAATTCATTTTTATTAACGTCTACATGATAAAATTCTGCAAATTTTTTACAATGGACTTGTATTTCTTTTATCTTTTGTTTTTAGATTGGAGAAAAATACAAACAGTTTATTTATTGATTGGTATGATTTACCACAAATTTTTAACTGAGTTGTGCCTATTATAGGAAAGTAAGTTTCTATTTTGAATTTTTTATTTCTTAAAAATTATATACTTTCATTAGTTTGTTGATCGAAGTATGTTAAATGAATTTTCCTCTTCTTAGTTCGTTGATCTAAATCTTTATAGTCAGAATCTGGAAATTGATCTCTAGTGACAGTTTCATAATTTTATACCATTGTGGCAAAAGCTGATAAGTGCCAAAACTAAATTTTATAGGACGGGCATTATAAAATGTATTAGGATTTCCTTTTAAACATTTTTTAACATAAATACCTAATTTTTTAATGATATTTTACTAAATAAAGGTTATTTATAAATAGTCTTGATACACTAAAATACTTTTATAATAATTTTATGCTAATTTGAAAGTTATGTTAAGACTTATAATAACTTATAATAACTTACAATAATTGTGACTGATAAGAACAATGAAATGCACATAATATATTTTGTCATTTTTTTTGTCAGCCAAAGTAGCACATAACATTTTTTGACTAATAGGTTTTTTAAACAACAAATATATTTTTTTTTTCAAAGAACTTTATTCCTTTGATTATTAACGAAAAATAAAATAAAAACAATCAACTTTTTTGTTATAACATTATATTACAAGTATCTATAAATTTTATAGATGGACAATATTTATTTGTGTTCGAAAATGATATGTAGTATATCATGTATTGTCACAATTTTATTTCCTGCATTTAAACAGTTATCACTTTCGTTTTTTGCTTATAACAGATGTAATAATAGAGCTAAAAATATTTTGACACAATACAATTTCAACCTTATTCTATATATATCATCTATAATCCCAAAATTGACTTTTTGGCACTAATCAGTTTTTGCCACAATGGTACAGAATTATAAAATTAATCTCTAATCTCACTTAGAAAACCAGCAAGTGAATCAAATTATTTTGAACCGACGTCAATAGTAAGGTTTTCTTTTTGTACATTTTTATTTGTTTCATTTATTCTTGATAAGATTTTACTTCAGCAACAACAATATTTTCCAACTGTTCCATTTCCTTAATTAAGCTATGGGTTTCGTTTTTAACATCTGGTGAAGTCTTATCATCTATTTTAATTGTTTTTAGAGCATCTAAAATGTCTTTGTAACCAATACACAAGGCAGTAACAGCATCTGCTCCAGCAGACCATCTAGTTTTTGATAGTGATTTTAAAACATAATTTGAGCCTAGGCACTTTTTCATGATATTCCAGAGATAGGTAGAACTCGAAAAAAAATTATATAGTTTTTATACAAATTGAAAATAACTTACTACTTCCATAACACATTCTGTTGCATGAACCCATACCAAGTTAAAAGAACAAGCTGCACATGGTATAAAAACAGCAAAATTACACTTTTTTTTTTTATTCTGTCTTGTAAACCAGCATATTCCCCTGACATATTTGTAGCATTGTCATATGACTGGCCACGACAGTTTTTAAACTAATCTGATTTTTTTCAAGAAAAGATAAAATAACTTTAAATAAATTCTCAGAACCGTGTTCATAAATAGGAATAAATTCTAAAAAACGTTCAACTGGATTATCGTTTTTAACATACCGTATAATGAATGTTATTTGATTCATATAAGAAAGATCAGGAGTGGAATCAATACTAATTGAACAATATTTAGCCACTTTTAATTCCGAAAGAATTGTATTTAGCACTTGTCTATCCATTATGTTAATAAATTAATTACAAATATTAGCTGATAAATGTGAAAGATTCCCTTTGCCTTGATTTCCATATTTATTTAAATGTTCCAAAATAAATGGATCAAATTGGCTTGGATATTATATATTTTATTTATTTATTATTAATTTGTTGAATTAGTTGTAAGAAGTTTTCTAATTATATGAACGTTGTCTAGTGGAAGCTAATAGTTCCAATAGACAGACCAAGACATTTACTGGTAATATCAGATTCTCGTTATAATCGGAATTTTTTTTAGATAAATTATAACTTCCTACCGTGCACACATAAATCGAATTAACCCTAAAAAATTCGATATTTTCAAAATCAATATCCATATTTATATGTTTCCATATCTCACCATCAGCGAAAATATATTTTTACGTAACGATACAATTTGTTTTTTCACTGCTGAGGTTAATATTATTTAAATGTGGAAATCATCTATCAGTTATTTTTGTTTGTGAGATTATGGAGGTAACGCTCACTTGTAGGTACCGACAAATAAAAAAAGAGAACATAACAATGGTAATCACAACTCAAATAATTAACCATTCACGCCAAAGGCGCTCCGGTGTAATAGGTAGTAATATTATGATTGACAATAATAAAAATCAGTGGTGAATGCTGACTCCGAAGTCGTTTTAAAAAAAAAGGAATAACTTTTATCATAAATTATGATTGTTTTCAAATAGGTACTTCGTGCTTTATATCATATTATTATTAATGATAAAATAATTGTTAAATTTTTACCAATTATGTTTTTATTCTTAAGCATGCGCTGCAATGCCGAGTTTGTCCTGAAAATTCGTCGCTATTTATTTATTTATTGAATCAAAATATCGCGGCGGTACTACGGCGGCGCGTCACAGTATCAGCACAAGGTGTTATATCTTTTCTATGTTATGGATAATAATCTATTATCACAATCGTTATCATTCGTTCGTTTTGTTAGTAGTACACATCCGGCCGGTACATCGAAGTGTTACTGTCACTTAAGTCTTATTTGTCCATACGTCGGCTTGTAGATTTAAATTGCAACTCTGATTTCATAGCATTACCTGTCGTGATGTCCATTTCCAAGCTGAAAGCAATCGGTTACCCTTTAGCTTCAGTATTCGACGCAACCAGTATGTAGTATATTTATATAGGATTATTTATTTTACACTTGAACTGCTGTTGTTTTCTTTAAAATAATCGACCGCATAGAATCTAAACATTTTGGTTTACTGAACATACCTGACATTACGTATTCATCATATATTTTTTTACCGGGAAGGAATTGGAAGGGCCTAAATGGGTAGTAATTCTAGTAAAATTGAAAACATGCTGTAAATCACATAATATAAATTAATAATTATTTAAAGACAATATAGATAGGTACGTACTAGTACTATTATCTGATTCATCTGCACTAACTTTTATTTTGTGAGTTTATACATTTGTACAGTTTATTTTAAGTTTATCCCATTTTGAAACAAATTTTATGTACTCTAGATGAAGCTGTTGATAAGATAAATCAGTTTTAAATGGTAAAATTTTTGTAAAAATACTTTTCAATGCATTGTTTAGCAAATTGTCTTCAGTAAAAAAATTATTTGGGTCCAGGCAATTGATATCAGCATACAAGTCCTTATATTTTTCAAATCGTAATTCAATACTTTGAATAACTGAGTCAAATATTACATTGCAAACATTAACTTCAAACAACTTTAATGGATTCATAGTTTGATTATCTGTAGATTCGCATGTAAATTGTTTAGTCTTTTTTGTTAGTCGAGTTGTTGGTAAACTATCACTAATTTGGATAATATTATTTTCTATTTTATCTAGTTCATTATTTACCTATATAACAAAACTATCAGCAGCCTGTTTGATAGTGGTAAAATCACTAATATATTATTATTTAAGTCATTACAGTAACGATGAAAAATAATTTTGTCATAGGTAAAAAATTGTTAATTTTTGTATTATTTTGTGTTCTGAAAATCATATAAAATGTTCTGTTCTTTCTATGAGATACATTAGTATATACTATATACTTGTATAGTCACAACCTAAGCCTAAGTAAAATACATATATAGTTACTTATTTTATATTTACTCTTAACTGTGAATTACAATAATTTTATTTAATTTTGTTAGTTTTTGTATTTTATATTTTAATTTAGATGAAAAATGTTTACGGATGTTAGTGTTGTGGTTAGAAGAGAATATTTTAAAAATATATGAACCAGATAAACGATCAGGGTTACAGAATATTGATTCTGATGAATGGGACACAGCATTTAAAGACTACTGTGTATCTAGTTCCAATCCAATAACAAGTACAGAAACTATAGATCATTTGGAATGGTTTTTAGGTAGGGCTGTTAGAACAGTGTACAATGAACAAAGTAAGTTGACCCTTATTCTATTCCTTCAGTAGATTATATTTAAATTTATTGCTATTACATTTTTCTTATAGGGAGCAAGTTTGATTCAGAAACAAAAACAACACTTGAAATTGATTCTAATGTTCCAACGATTATACCATCTGATAACCCAATTGATAATATTGATGGTAATTATATTATAATACAAAAAACTAAAAAAATATTGTTTAAAAGTATTTTTATTATTTTATCATATAAAATGCAGCAAAGATGATATAGTTGAGGTTTTCCTGCCTAAGACACCGCTTTTTCTCGATTCTTAGACATTTAAATTTATTTTAATTTTTGATAATATTATTTATGTTATTTATTTATTTTTTTGATAATGTTTGTATGTATTACATGCTATAAAAGTTATTTACATGTACATTACGATTTTTACTCATTATTAAAATTATTATTAACATTGGTATGTAATTTATAGCTTACAGTGATGATTTTAAGAAAGGCGTCGAGAAGCTTGCTGATTTACTAAATATTTCCAAACATCCTGATCACATAATAACATTAGAAGCTGTAAGTGCATTTATTGAAAAAAGATTAAGTGCAAAAGCAATAAATAATCCATCTGCTGTGTTACCTAAGGTAAAATATTTTCAATAATTGTATCCACATTCTTTTGTAATTCAACTCTGCTCTTTACAGGGTGAAGCTTTTCCTTTAGAACAAATCAAAGGTCATAAAATTGATTCCAAAGACAAAGCTGTTCTAAAAGCATTGAAAGTATTAAGATTAGCACAGCTACATAGGTTACGTGATCTTCAAACTTGCATAAATGAATGTATTGTATCTATGCAGCAAATTACTTCAAATCCAAAAACAGATACTAAATTAGGAAAAGTTGGTTATTAAATATCCAATTGGTTAAAATTAAATGAAGTTTTATTAATAAATTATTGTAATTCAAATAACATGTAAGATATATGAATAAATGAATACATTTTATGTTTAATTACTTTGTTTTAATATCTAATTTTAAAATTATATTTTGATTTAACAGAATAATATCAATTGATGAGCTTTATATATAAATATATTAGGGTGGTCCAATTCATATAGATTAAAAAAAATGTTTTTGGCTTGCTCTCCACAAACACTTTTTTGTTCCTTTACCAAAAAGAAATATGTATACCAAAAACTAGCCCATTTTAAGTATATTTAGAGGTCGCTAGTATATGTAAGTAAAATAAAATTCATGAAATTTATCAATAATAATTGTTGTTTTCAACATTACTGTCGATAATAAATTGTTATTACAATAACACTGTGATTTTAACCCGAAATGTATTGTATTTTACTTATCTGCCTTATCATATCGGCATTATTATTCACTGTCAAATAAATAGTAAACGTATGTGACACGCGTTTATATCTTTAAATTTTATTTTATTTTGAACTGCTGTTGACTCAACGTCGCTTATCAAAATTAAGTGAGAATGTTATTAGTACCTATGTCCAGTGGCGTATTTACGGGGGGGGGGTCCAAGGGGTTCAGACCCCCCCCATTGACTCGTGTCTCGTACATGTAAATGTTTGTGATTTTATATGTTTAATAAAAACAAATTATATCATAGGATATGACATATGTCGATATGAACAATTTTGTAAAAAAATTTCGAAGCGTCAGTATTATCAACATTTTCAATTGTTATCACGATTTTTCGTTGTCAGTTTGGAACCAAACATGATTGAAAAATACCGAGTTCTTGGTTATTAAACAAACGCTCTGCTTTTATCAAATTAAATTAAATGATAGCGGTAGCCGGTAGATAACAATGATGACGGACGGTTTTTCTTATTTATGATTATGCATTACATGATCTTCAGAACCGTTCGAATTCGAAACTTCGCTGTGTTGTTTTTTGTTTAATTAATCTTTCAAAAATTCAAAATGAACAACACACCTAAAATAACAACTTTTTTCACTGCGATTCGGTCTACAGAGTCCACTTGTAGTAGTGAGACCCCTAGCGAGACTGCCGAGACTTTAAATCTGAAAAGTTCTATCGACGAAGACGGTGAGCAAAGTTTGAATAAGAAATTAAATTCTCAGGTATGTTACTGTTTAAAATCTGAATTTATTATTATCTTGATTATATAATTGAAATCTATAGTTGTTAAGCTTGCTTTTCTCGTAGACCATAGTTGTATATTTTGCTAAATGCTTCTACTTATGTTTTATATTGTATACTATATAATATGTGGAATTTGGATGGACTATGGTATTTATGCTACTGGGTGCCTTATGAAATTTGCTTGGCGGTATTTGACATTTAAATATATAAAGAATGAAAATGTGAACAAAAATGACAAAGTTACAACTAAATTGTAAATTGTATTATAAATATGGTATATTTATGTAATAAAGAGTAATTGGGGGGGGTATGGGGGCAAAGCCCCCCACGGCTTTGTATTCTGAAAATTATCTGGACCCTCCCCATGAAAAATTCCTAAATACGCCACTGCCTATGCCCAATACGCTATGTATTATGATTTACTTATAAAGTATATCATTTATTTATTTTTCTAGAGTACATACGAATAGTGTAAAAATTATTAATATTTTTTATATCAAATTATGTAGAAAACTATATTAAAATTATAAATACGGGAGGCGATTTAAACGTTGACGGTCAAAATATCGACATGTTAAAAAGTACGAATTAATGTTGACAAATCAATTATTGATAATTATAGTTACAATAAAATAGGATATAAATTACAAATACATAATATAGGGTACAGAATTAAAATATCGAAAAATTTATTTCTAAGCGTATAATTAATTTTTTTTTATTTTAAAATGAAATGAATTGATATAATCACCTATAACCTATAACCTATACTTGATGATAACTATTATAATACTGCGAATTATTATTATATATTTTTGAAATTATCAATGATAATATTAATTTATATTTGTCAGCATTTTGTCAACATTCTGACCTGTCTACGTATTACGTACTTGACGATGTTTCTATTTATGTTTTATATTAATATTTTAACTTGCCAATATTATGATTGTCGACGTTTCATACCAAACCCATACATACAACATAATACTTTAGTAGGTTTAAAATAATGCAAGTATTGCGAGTATATTATTAGGTTTTTTTTAGATAAAATATAATAGCTTCCACTGGTACATTAAAAACTATAAGAACATCAGCTAGAGTTTGGTTAGTTGGAAAATTAACAGAAACATTATCATACTCAAGACTTCCATCAAAAGGGGATTGTGGATGAATACAATCTTTTAAAAAATAACAGAAATAACAGTCTCAAAAGCTGTTGTAAAAAGAAGAGGTATTTAAAGGAGACCTTGTTGACATTTTTGATATAGTTGTTAAAGATGCATTAAATGCAGAAAAATGAAGACGACAAAATATTTCTCGTAGTGGAATGAGAAGACACAATGAATTGCAGCATGGCAGGTATAGACAAGTGCCTTAATGACAAGGAAATTCGAAAACGTAGGAGAGAAACAGAAGCTGAGACTAAGCGACTACGTATATGCGATTAGGAAGAGGCGAACCAAGAATTAGCATCTTTTTCTGAATTGACGGATTCCATTAAAGACTTCTTCGGACGATGAATTTCAAGTTCCTTCTACTTCAACCAACATGAAAAAGCCTAAAAAGATAATAAATGTCTGTATCGAGGATATTGTGGCATCTCTTGACCGTGTGAACTTGTCTGATCGAAGTGCAATGTTTGTCATTGGGGCTGTAGCTCAAGCTTTAGGAACACCAGTATCAGATATATCTTTATCACGTAGAAACAGACTAAGCTTCTTTTTCTTCTCAACATCCTCTTGTTTTGCATTGGGATAGTAAATTGCTAACTAACATCGTTGATGGAGTGCAAAAAATGGATCGAGTGGCTGTGCTCAGGGGCGGATCAGCCTATCGGAAAATCGGGAATCTTCCCGATGGGCTGGTCCTTGTTTGGGCCGCTCTATATTATTATATAATTGTCAAAAAAAGTTTTATTTTATAAAATAAATAAAAATCATTAAAAAAATTAATATATATTTAAAGATGCATTAAGATCAAATTTCAAGTTGGAACTAATTAATCATGTGACATACCCAAAACTATTAGAGCTATAATTATAGTAATGTTATTGTAGATTTTACTAATTTAGGGATGAAACTAAACAAATTTTGAAATTGATGCAAAATAAAGCATTTTTTGGGAGCGGGGAGGGGTAAAATAATTTAATTTACGGTTCATGGGCCGAAAATAATTGCCAATTTGCCCCTGGTTGTGCTTGTCAGTGGTGGTGGTTTAGAAAAACTTGGCAGTTCCAGAAATTATAAAAGGAACAGGCAAAGAACAAGCCGACGATTGTTTGACAGTTCTCAACGAGTGGGAGTTAAAAGCCCAAGTGTGTGGACTTTGCTTTAATACAACATCATCAAACACGGGATTGAATTTAGGTGCATGCTCTTTAATTGAAATTCACTAGCTCCGGATAAAGAGCTTGTTTTCATTGCTTACCGACACCATGTTTTTGAAGTCATGATCTCCAGTGTTTTTAAGGAAGTGTTTAGACCAAGTAAGGGACAAGATGTGGATCTTTTTAAACGTTTCAAGAAAAAATGAATGGAAATAGATCAAGAAAATTTTATAATAGGTCAAGACAACTTTTTTAATACCGAAAACTTTCTTAAACTTCGCCGGGATATGCAAAAGTACTACATTGATGATATTAAAACTCAACAGCCTAGAGACGACTATTTTGAATTGCTTAAACTGTGTCAGATCTTTCTCGGAAAACCAGAAAAAACTGAAGTTCGATTTCGTGCATCAAGCTCGTTGGTTGGTGAAGACAATTTTTTGCTAAACATTTATATGTTCCAGGATCCCAGTTTATTCTTACTTCATCAGAGAAAAAGGGGGTCATTGAAATAAGTTTATTTGTAAGTTTCGTATATTGTCGTTATTGGAACGAAGCCCCAATAGCCGAAAAAGCCCCTCTGAACAATGCCAATCTCATTCAACAGATAAAAAATTATCCTAATTAAGAGAACGGTACCACTGCCTCAAAAGCATTTCATCGCCACCTCTGGTATTTTTCCGAACATTTAGTTGGGCTTTCTTTTTTCGATTCTCGTGTCAGTGTTGAGTCTAAAAAAGAAATGGTCAAGTCTTCAACGACATAATTTTGAATAGTTTAATAAACTAAATTATCTTAAAGAGTATTAATTATTTCTTCACTACACCTACATCCAAGCGTTGACTAAGACATTAATACTAGAATCAACTGATCAAACAGTTGGCACACAACAACCAAAAGAAAAACCATTAAAAAGACTCGACGGTAAAACTTTTAATAATCAGAATCCACTCGTCTTTTATCGCACAACGCACAATGGTTCTGTTTGATTTATTCCTCAATGACGGTCAAGACAGAGCAGCTTCATTTTTAGCAAAAGAACCCTCAGAGTGACCAACAGATATAATTTATACTGAAATGCAGGAGAAGATTTGCCAAATGAAGTTTGTTAATGATTGTGCTATGCGTGGAATAGCTCTGATTCAAACATTTAATTCTAGTATTACAAAGAATGAGAAACAAAAGCAATATCTTCTCCATCTGGTTGATCAACACAAAAAAAAAAAAATTCCCATTGCTTCAAAATCCAATGTAATGAAGATGAACAATGAACATTAGATTAAAACCCTCTAATTACAAATTTAAAATAATATATTTAAATTTGTCTTGATTTATTTAATAAATTAATAAAAATAACGGTTTTTTTCTTAATATTTATCTTATTCTTAAAAGTGATAAATCTTAGCTATCCCTAAATATTGTTCAATTGGGCTGAAATTTTGTAGAATAGTTAACAAGGTGATTTGTAACAAAAAAAAAACCATATGGAGAACCATAATTTCAAAAGTAAAAAAATTGGACACCCTAATATATATATATTACGAGCAATGATATAATTGATTAGGATAGAATGGCCTGTTCTGGTGCTAAATTATAAAATAATTTTGTTATTCTAGTTTCTTTACAAAAAAATGAAACTAAATACTGCATGTTTCATAATGCCTGTTAGATTAAGGTCATTATATAGAATGTCCGGCTAAGTGTGGTAATTTCTACATAGACCGGCTATATTGAGCATTCTATAAATTACCTGGACATTTTATAAAATACCTGATTTACTACATTGTTGGTAACATATACATACACAGATAAAGGGTTAAAAATGTTTTATAAAATATTAATATAATAAAAAACGTGTATTATTTTTCTTAATTACAACCATTTAAAATGTTTTGATTTATAAAATGTTTCTAATTATTATTAATTGTGTACCTCATAATTAATAACTTATGCAAGTTAATTTTTTTAGTTAATTTTTCTATTGAATGCACCAATTAATTTTATCCTGAACACGATTGGTAGAATAAAATAAAACACAATATATATAATAATTAATTTGATAATATTTGTATTTAATATTACAAGGAAAACTAAAACTTAAAAAATTGGTGTACAACTAATAGATTTAGTGACAAACCCAAATTTTATACAACTAAGATAATATTAAGGAAGCCATAATGTATACAAAGTAACTCTAATCAGCCTCGTTCATCTATGACATCGTTTTCATCAATTCAATCTTAACAATACTCTAAAAACAAGAAAAAAAAATATAACAAAACATTTACACTTATAATAATTCAACAGCAAATTTAGATCTGACGTGTTTCAAGTTAATTTGGAGTTAGTAGTATAATGATTAATATCACAATAACATATCTTATAGTCTATTATTAAATACATTAATTGTAAAGTATATTACCAAAAATGGCAACGGAACTCAGATGGCAGAAAGGTATTACATTTTTATTTATTTCTTAGACATGAAAGTTGGATATTAGCCATCTAACTTCAGTTACCCATTTGGCTATCTATAGATACGTTGAGGTTATCAAGTTAACAATTTATAATCCAAATTGGTTTATCAAAATATAACTATTATACTATAACAGACTTATACAGTGCTTTAAGTGAGTAGTTTAATTATTAGGTACAATACAATTTAATTATAAATTTTAAATTAATTAAATTAATTCGCTATAATTAATATTTAAAAAATACTTATAAATATTCAAATTTATGCGTTACTGTTTACCCTATATAATTATTGTTTCCATCTGTCTTACTATATTTTATATATATAAAATTGTAAAATCAATGTTATTATACTTAGTCAAGAATATTTTTCACTATTAATTAATACAATTTTGAGGTTTTTAATACATTTGAAAACAGTTAATAAACTAATTCGATACATCTTAACTTAACTAATAAACTTAATTTAATTGAAACATTACTTACAATGTTATTTTAATTACCCTATATGGTTATAGCTTCTATTTAGATAATATAAGTAAAAAAACCACTCTCTGCTGCATTTTAAATATTGTTAATATATTATGATCTTGGTTAAGATCATACAGATAAAATAAATAGTTTATACAAAAGTGATTACTATTTAACTTATACATATTAGGTACTATAAAGTAACAGAGATTTTAAGAAATTTAAGTTAAATTAAAAATTACCATGATCAAAATTATTAAAACAGTGCTATATAGTAATTAAAAAAAAAAAATTATTTCCCTAACAGAATATACATTTTAAGTTCCAGAAACACAAACTGAAATATTTAATACGGTAAATTATAAGGTTTGAAAACTTTTTAGAAGCTTAATTTAAATTTATATTAATGATTATTGAATTTTCTTAACAGATTTATTTATATTTTGTTATTATAAATATTTTCAAGTTCAAAAGAACATAGTACATACTTTAACACCTAATATAGAAATAACATCTAAAACAAAACATTACTGCTATAATGAAGTTGCAATTAATAAATATCAATATTTATGTACTTTATGTGTGTGTTGATCATTTTTAAAAACATTTATTAGTGTAAGGTAATTTTAGTAGTTAAATTTTGTGTTAATTTTTGTATTCAAAGTTGAAAAGCAAGTTATTTTTATAAATCATATTTGTATGTGCGTCAAAATAATGGAAATATAAAGAGACATTATTGTGTATAAAATGAACCTATTTTTGATTTTGAATTCTAATACTGGAAACTTTTCCATCCTTATATACACAGAGAATATATTTTAGAATATATATGTTTGAATAATTAAGAATAATGTACAATGAGTAAAATTTGTTTTACAAAATATCCTGGTCTTTTAAATTTACAAGATAGAAGTAATACACATTTTTACATAAATTATACAGGAAAATGTTGTCATTTAGTTATTTTTCAAAATTAAAATTGTATCACTGTTAATATTCATTTAAGTAATAGATTCTTAATTACTTTTAAATGAAAATGTATTACATTTTAGCTGAATAAAACTTGTGTATAATGTAGATATTTTTAGTTTTTTTGAATATGCCCATTTCAATTAATTCAACATGATAATTTATACTACCTACCACTGTTTCTACTAAAGGGCCTTATGTAAATCTCGATTAGAACCTACCTAGGTTTGATTTGCTGGACATTTTTAATATCTTAAATAATAATTATTTTCAATTCTGCTTAAAATTAGTACTTTGCTGGCTTTATTTATGACGTATCACAAACTAAATAATTTTAATATATTTTCTAAGTCAGTCCACAAACCAAATCCTAATTTTATGAATTACACATGTGTTTAAAATATGTATACATAGAAAGTGGTTTTTATTTATTTTTATTTAGCATTTATGTATAACAAAGTCAATAAATATTGAAACTTTATATTAAAATTTATTTTATAATACTTAAAATATCTTAAGATACCTATTCATTTAAGTTAATAGTATTTATGAATATTAAAATGTATTAAACTTACTTAATTTATCATATAATAATATATAGTAAATTTATGTAAAGAATTCTTTAATAATGTGCTAAATAATTATGAAAAACAATAAGAAATAATTTAATAACACAAATTGGTCTGACCAAAATTTAAGTAATTTGGTTTTTATATGGTAATTTAAAATGTTTTCCTATCAATAATATCCTTTAATTGCAGCAATAATTTAAACTAAAATAAAGTTAGTCTACTATAAAGAAATAACGTTTTTTTTTTCCAAGAATGAAATTAGATAAAAACTATTTACTATGCAATATATATTATATGAATAATGGAAGAAAATATTGCTTAAAATATTTATGTAAACATCATTGCTTATATAATTCACTCATAATATATTCAGCTACCATTATATACACTGCTATAAATACTCCAACAATACTTGCAATAGTTGTATTCATTATGAAAATAATGATGGTTGCTAATCCTAAACCAACATATGTTAAGTAACGGGACTGATCAGAGCTCGTCCATTCGGTGTTCTCTGTAACAAAATGTTAAAAAATTAATAAATATATTATTATATTAATATTTATAATATTAAATGTATAATTTATTAAATTTGATTATTGATATTAATTAGACGGGGTTGAAATATTACACAAAATATATTAATAATTAACTTAAATAAATATTAAATAACATTAAAATTGAACAAACAGCAAATGTAGTAAAAATGAATGCTATAAATAAAAAAAATTAGTAGAGCATTCAATAATTAATAAATTTAAATTTGAATTGTGTTAAAATTAATTAAATATTAGCAAATAAATTATAACAACTATATAATATGAAATTGACAAGAAAAAAATGTAACAATAAATAAATGTGCATACAACTCAAGAGTTTATAAGAAATGTGTATAACATAATTTGTATGAGAATAATATTCAAATATTTTTAAGTAAAATTAATGATATATGTATAAACAATGATTTCTTCTGATGATATTAGTTAATGTTTATAATTAATGGAAAAATAATTAAATTAAATAAAAAACTAAACCATATACTATTGATCTAAAAGTACAACTTACTCAATTCTTTCTTCAACTTCATAGCCTTCACTAGCATCTACAAAGTAAAAATCATGCAAACAATCATTACTTAAGCATTAGAGTATTAAACATGCTCTATTAATTGAACTATTCAATTTTTAACTGTGTGCATAAGCTCAAAAATTTCAATAAATTTGAAAATATTTTAATAAAATACCTATGCATTTCTGATTCTTCATGTAATATCCTGGAGCACAATTATAACACATATCATTTCCATCACCATAGCAGTCTTTACATGATTGATCACAACCTGAAAATATTTACAATAAAACCTATTAAGTAAATAAACTATTTAAAGAGTACTTACTCAAACAAGAATATGAACCTTCATTATTAATACAAAACTCTTGTGAAGTACAAACGTCTCCTTCCAAGCATTCATCAATATCAATACAACCCTTATCTTCACCCATGTAAACCCATCCATCTTTACAATCATTACACCCTATATGTATAATTAAATATTTAGTAGTTATAATATTATTTATTTAATATTTATAAAAAATACACACAAAATGATTCATATTTTGTGACATATAAATGTATTTCTTATTACTTGTGTACACAACATTTGAATGACTTTGTGTTGACACATAAGATAACTTTTAAGGGTCGAACATCCATAAATTGTATTTTTCATAAAAAGTTTACATATAGTGGTTATTAATATTTTGTGGGAGGTCATTTTTTGAATCCTCCTAATGATTACGAAAAACTAACAAAAAGTTATAAAAAACAGCATACTGGTTTTCGATAAAATGTAATGGTTTCATCGAAAACTCAAAAAATAATAACCGTAGAGATATAATCATATGTTGGTTAAAACCTGGCTAAATACTGATATACTTGATGCCGAATTAGGTTTCGATAAATAAATAAATAAATGTGTTACGTGCTAATTTGAATAAAAAAACGAGCAAATTGGTGGAGTAGTAATAATAGTAAATAAAATATATGAAACCGAGATTATTAAGTTACCACATGATAATCTAGAGCAATTATTTGTACTTATTAAAAGTGGGAATATTGTTAAATGTATTATCGGCGTTTGTTATATTCCACCGCTAAGCCCAAATAATGTCTACCATTGATATATTACCAGGGAACGGACTTTGATGCAAAATACATTTTTTAGTGGGTAGAATAGGGCAATGCTTTCTAAGTGTATAATTCGATTCATACATCAGAGAATTTAATAATGAAACTTTTATTTTGCATTTTTTTGCATTTTTTAAACTTTTTCAGTTTTTAAAGCATTTTTTGACATTTTTAGAGCATTTTTCCATTTTTAGGTCATTTTTCGTATATATTTGTTGCTTGGAATTATACAATTTTAGTTATTCTTACGAAGATCGGCTGATTGTAACTATCTATACGGTTATACGTAATTCCCATCAAATAATCTCGATAACGTTACGATATGCGACATAAAACTAATTGGTGTCCGATTATTAGTAGGTACTCATAGAGTCGTTAGTCGTTAGTCGTGTTCGCTATCGTAATTCGAATTAGTGTGAAAGATGCCGAAAATTAAGCTGTCCGATCGTTGTCGTTTGCGTGTGTATGTACAAGAATTCGGTGAAAACAGTTAATAATTATTAATTAACATAAAACATTTTTCAGGCTAAAAAAAAAGATAAGCGAAAAGACAAAGAGTTTTTTTTTATTGTATATATTTAAATATTTTTTTTATAAGATAAATTTTTTATAATGATGAATTTTTTATAAATTTTAAGTTTTAATAATATTATACACACACAAAACTGTTCAAAATTTTGTTTTTATCGAATTTAATAACATTTTTAGTGCATTTTTTCAGTGCATTTTTTCGATATTAAAGCATTTTTTATGGCATAAGGTCATATTTTTTACGGACATTTTTCTTATTTTTTAAGACATTAAAGTCCGTTCCCTGTTTATTACTATTGACTTTATAATATACAGATAAACCATTTTATAGTTAATATTGGCAGCGGTTACATGCATTCAGCCGCTAGACGTCAGTTTTTCTCGGCATTCAAGAGGGGTATTATATCCTTTTTATAAGATTGATATTTTTGAAGACAAATTCCTCATTGTTTAGCATAAAAAAAACTAACATTTATGACATAGTTTAAAAAACGACAACTTATGAAAAATTGGATCTGTGAGAATGAAGAATGTGTAAAACACATACATTATATTATAGAAAAATTAATAACACGTAAAATATTTAAGAAGTTTAAAGATTATTTGACAATAACAAGACAATCAAAACTCAAAAAATTAAAAACATTAACTTATATTTAAACTTAAAGATAATTTTTTTTTTAATTAAATATAGGTATTAACAAATTTGAAATTGAATAAAATAATTATTCTAATTTATATTTTGTTAAGAGCTTGGTTAACAGTTATGGAGCTAAGATTAGAGAATATGATGTCGAAAAGAGAGTAGTGAGAGTTTAATACGTAGTTATGTTGGAAGAATCCATGAATGGAAAGTCTTTCAAAAATGGAAGTATATTCAGAGATTAATTGAGTTAGGAAACACAAGCCATGTGTATCATTTGACCATGAAATTAATGGTAGATTATAATCACCAGTGAATATAAGACTAAGATTAGGTTAGGTAGGTTAAAAAATATGATCAATAGCATCTAGATAGGTTGTATTAAGCTTAAGGAACGACGAAGCTCGTATACAAACATTAATATTTAAGAAATTATGAGAGAAGAGAACAAATAATTGTTCAACACTATGATTAGGGCTAATGAGACGGGAAAAAGCTACGTCTTTACGCACAGCTACTAACACACCACCACCACGATTAAATGAGCTGGTCTGTGAGGAACTGTCGCATCTAAATACATTGTAATTACTGAGACCGACCTCAGAATTGTGAAAACTATTAGTGAGCCAAGTTTTCGTGAAAGCAATAAACACATAGTTAAGACATGAGGTATTATAATTGAAATTAACAAGTTTAGTACGAAGGCCGCGATGATTCTGGTAGTAATCATTGATGCTGACAGTAATGGGGGTGTTGTTGTTGCTTATACTTGAGGGCGATGATGGACTCGGACGCCGTTTTTTGAGCGGGAAATTATGCATGGACAACCGTTTTTGAAAGTGATGGTTAGGTTATGTTCTCCTGCTGCTACACGACGATCTAACACAAGATGACAGGTTTGAAGTTATTGACGTTCAAGCAAATTCTTGTAAAATATCTGAGATCTGGATGGAAGAGACAGTTGATGGGTTTGATGAGTATGACTCAAGAGCAAGAATCTTAGACTCTAGTAAGTCGACTTTAGTACGGAACTCAAAACTTTCTAAGGATTTGTGGCCAGTCAATAGTTTATCTTGAGATGATTGGATACGCTCAATAGCTTTTATCATTCGAAGTGCATTTCTCAGAAGTAGTGGAAATTGTAGAATGCGAGCGGGTAATGACTGATAAAGGCTTGGACGTAGTTTGCGGCAACCGGCGAGAACTATGACACGCTGTATAAGAGAAGTTTTTGAGCACGCAGTGTGTATGATGTGTGTGGCCGAATCGTATCTCAAATCGGAAGGTACTTAATAGGCGACGCAAGATAGCAAAACCGTCTACTACCTTCGAGCAGATAAACATTTAAAATAAACTTACGTATTTTCGGCGGCGGTGTTATGTATGTGTAAACCACAATAATTGTCCTTGTGTAGAAAATTTTGGGCAGACTGACACAAAATCGACACCAGCTTAAGGATGCACTTATAACAAAGTACGCAAAAAACTGGCAACTATTAACGAAAATATATGTGAAAGAATCGAGAGCAAATTTGACTATTGCGACACGGTACTATATTACAACAAAAAGGTTAACATTTTCACTTAGGAAATTTTATAAAATGGTTGCTTAAGTTTTAATTTGCAACCAAATATAAATCATCACATTCGAGAAACAATTCTGAACGAAGGTGTTGGTAAAATATATATATTATATGCATTAAATAATCATTATCTTTGAAATAATATGGAAAAAAATGTACTAGATAAGACTTACTGTAATTAAACTACAATGTAAAATATTATTAAGTTAGCCATGCATTTAATGTTCAAACTATGAAATAAAAAATTATTTATTTTAGTTAAAAAAATATAAACACAAAATATATTCAATTTAGTTTAGAACGAAAACTCCACATGTAGCATCATTTAAGGATTTTTTTTTTTTTATTAATAACTTGAAATTTTTAATTTCTGGATTTAAAAGGTTTCTGTAATAAGCAATTAAATTACTGTTATAATAAATATACTTCATACCTTTTGGTCCGGATTCTATACAGCCGTCTTTACATGATTTATGGCATTTTCGACAGATTAGAGTATCATTATTTACTGTAGTAAAATAATTTTTTGCACATCGATCACAATTGTCTCCACTATAACCAGTATTACATTTGCATAACCCATTACCCTTTCGAGTTCCATCACCCTGTTAAATAAATTTAAATTAAAATAATTAGTACTTTTAAATATTGAGTGTACTTATATTATACACTTAGTATTATAGGATACTTCAAAATATAAGATACATGGAAATATTATGCATTATATGAAATATGCAAACCATATTCACAAATATGTTAGTAAAAAAAAAAAAAGTATTTTCACGCAATATATATATATATTTCAATCTGACTTACTTTATAGATACTTGTATTTAATGTTAAATTTTATATTATATATAAATAATAAAAATTAGGTTATTTAAATAACAGCAATTTTATTATTTTTAAATTACTAAATTTCTTAGTTAGCTCATTTAACCCGCCACGCTTAAACATTTATAAAGACTTGTTTCATTACCTTACAACTGCCATGTAAATTGCAAACATTAGGATAACCTTTACATGGTAAACAATCAGGTCCATAATGTTTAGATGGACAACATACTTTTAATTTGTCTACACAAAACCATTGATATAATTCTTCTTGGCGACCATTGGTCCACCATTCTTTTAGATGATGTTCATATTCACTTGACAAATGAAAACACTATAGAAAAATAAATTAATAAATTGTTTCTAATTTAAGATATTTATTTAAATTACCATGTCTTGATTTTGAGTAGTTTCAGAACACAGTGTATCATAAATTTCTACAAATCTAACTTCACTATCTGCATAATTTAAAAGATTTTTTTCTTCCCATGCTGTATTTCCACCGCCAAAAAAATTATTTTTAGTTCTTTCAAGCCCCTAAAAGTACATTAAATATTATATATAACTATATATTGTTATATATTATTATATATAAAGCTGTTATTATTAAATATTTACTGAATGCTTTAAAAAATTCATAAAAATTAATTTGTTAATAATCTTTTACTCAATATGAACACATAAAATAGTTCTTCACCTTTTCAAAAGATGTAACTAATACTTTACAACTTTTACATGGTGAAGTATCAACAGAAACTTTTGGAACCAAATTAGACACGTCCAAACCATGTAAAAAATGAAATAATGGAAACAATATGAGTAGAAGCATTGTCAATTATATCTGAAATAATATAATATTCATGATTATTTATAAAAATTACTACTGTATAGGCATAATAATAATTTTTTAAAGTAGGATTGAGGGTTTGTACATCTTTTTTTTATTACTCACAAACCATAAATAAGTCAAATCATGTGTTAAGACACCACATTTTTTAAATTTTTATTTTGTTTAAGCAATCGACGTTTTTTTAGAATATTACATTTGTAGCATCAGAAATTAGTAATCTTGTAGTATATAGCATTCCCTGAAATTTCTGTTTCAAATTCTATTATCATTGCTTTCATAATATTTTAAACGTATATTAAAAGTCTTCAGGTATCTTGCTTAAAGAAACATGTACTTACATTTTCTGTATGCAACAACTTAATAAAATATTATAGTTTCATTTTAAATACAATTTTAAACAATGCCAAACAAAAGCTAGATTCACCTGTTCAAACCGCTAAATTGACAAACAAAACTCTCCAAACCTAAAATTATAGAACCAGGAACACAGGAGTAATAAAATGTATAGGTAAAAAATATTTAAAATTTAATTAAGTCAGGTTTTTTTTATTAGCATTACAGTATTTTCAGTAGCAAAATTATTAATGTATTAGTGAACTAAAAATTATTATTAAAACTTGAAAATGGGAAAATAATCTTTAAAAATAAATAGCTAACAAAATTTTTATAATAATAATGCAATAAAGCTTTACATATAATTAATATTTAGTTTTGTACAATATAACAATTAATTTTATGCAAATTAAAATATATTGGTCTAACTATAGATTGTAGACATGAATGGGATAGTTAAATCAATTGTATAAATATTACTTTACAAAAATTCTTTTTTTTAAATATTTTAAATATATAGGTAATTGATGATTCATGTAAAATAATAATTTATTCACACTAGTGCTATCAATTTCTAATAGAATACATTAGAATGATATTCATTTACATTTTTTATTTATTTTATTATCATGTCTAATATTGTAGTATTATTTAAATTTGTTTAAAAATTATTTATTGAAAGTTTGATACTAATCAAATAATATTTGATGGTCACTGAAGGCAATTACACTTTGAACTTACGTAAGTAACACTATTTTTACATTTTCTACCAACTAGTGTACCTATATAGTGACTAAAATGTATTAAAATTAGCCTGTTGACATCATAATTTTGATATTGCTGTGGTTTAAGTGTTTGATAACTTGATGAACCCATCAAATGGACCAGATGTTACATTATTTAAACAATTTTCAAAATCTTGGCCCAACATAAATCAAAAGCATTTGAAAATGGTTTATTGAGAATATTTCTATCATCAAAATTAAAACTGATAAAAACTAATATGATTAAATTTATGATTGATCAATTAAGTTTATATTACCTTAGTAAAGAGTTTTCAGAAAAAATTGTTTTTGGAAACTCTGAGCTTGTCATAGAGTTAAATGAAAGGCAAAAATAATTTATTATAAAAAAATATTTTTGTTTCAATTACAATTTGAATTCAATGAAACAGAATTATCAAACTTGGAACATCTTACTTTTTTCATAAAGAGAATATATTTAAAAGTGTGGTCTACTTCTACTGATGTTTCAGATGCACCACTAAACGATTTAAATTTTATGAAAGACCTGAAGGGGTACAAAAATACAAGTAATAGCAAATAAAAATTAGCATTGAAAGTATTTTTTGGATATTTATGGTACCTTAGTGCTCCATTAGTGAATTTGGCTTTGCTTTTTTTGACAATTGAGTTTCAGATAATATTTGAGTATAAATAGTTAAGGTTCTGGATAAAAATGGGACTAATATTTTTAAATACAGAATAAGTATTCCAGAACATAATATTTTAAATAACGAATTATAAGACTTTTTTATAAATATTTTATATAAACTTTTTACAGCTCTTAACATTAAAATGGACTTTTTAACATTGCACCCAAATACTTGGAAAAATAATATTCAATATCTGGATGAATATAAAAAAGAAAACTTTTTAAGTGGTTAATAATGCAGATGAAAGGGGTATTTCATTGATATCAAAAAATGGAACTCTTACCAACTAAGACCAATAACAGCAATAACTTCTTAAAATAATCGAAAAACACAGACAAGATATCCCAAATTTCAAAAAAATCAATTTAAAATAATATAAAATACATTTTTTTAAATATATTTGGTCATTTTAAATTCATAGAGCAATCTTTTAATATAAATGAAATTTCTTCACATATTCACAGTATCATTTTCATAGTAATAAATTATATAAATTGTGTAAAAATCAAATAACAATAAAAACAAATAAATAAAAATAAAAATAAAAACATTATTTTTTTATTACTTTTTTTTTTTTTTAATACCAACCTAGTATACATAAATCATTAATAATAATTTGTGAAGTTTCATTATTATTAAAAATTACAATATAAAATATTTGTTAAATCTATCCATGCAAAAACAAATACTATTTAAATACATAAGACAATAAATGTAAAGGATTTTAAGTAACTTATAATATAAATAAAGTAATAACATACAAATTGTAATTAAATATATTATGCACAGATTTAAGTTTATAGCGCAAATATAATAATAACTTTGATTATTTTTAAAGTTTAAAATCTTTTAATAATTATATTAGACTTCAATCAATCTAGTATCTTATATAAGGTCAATTAATTATAAATATACTAATATTATATTATACTTATGTTATATTTTACCTTTTCTTATTTTATTATATGTTGAAAAGTATAAATTTGAGAGTAAAATACCATGTTCAAAATTAAATTTAAATAAATTGTAAATTATTATATGTATGAATTTATTAGATAAAAACTGCTGCCCTAGCACATTATTTGTTTGCAGGGGTCGCTATATTATTGTAATCAATTGTTTTGTAAAATGTAATTACTGATCATTAAAGTTAAGGTTTGTTAAAAAATAACTATTAATTTTAAAATGCAGAACTTAAGCACGGGTCACAGTAGACTGGTTGCCATCCATGAATTTAGTAGCTGCTACTGTCAGCTGTCGATCAGCTTGATGTGACTACTAAATTTGGAGACAGCATCACCAACCGGCAAGTATTTATCAGCAACTGATGAAATTAGAAATGTTTTTACTTTTGGTAGGAGGAGGTGACGGCTAATTAATCACATAACCGCTGTTACCAACCAGCAAAACAATCTGACCACTTGCTGATATCAGCAGCAAGTAACATTATATCATGTAGTTTTTTGTACTTTTTTTATTTAAAAATTAATGATTTAAAAAGTGTAAAGAAATGTTTATGGGACATTTAGTCAGCAAATTATTTAAATCAGAATGTAAAGGATGTGTTGTAACAAAAACTTTTAGAAGACTTAAGAACTGCAGAAATTACTGGTACACTTGAGTCAATTAAAAAAAAAAAAAAAAATTAAAAGCTTACATCTATTGAAAGGAACTTAATTAAGTTCAAACATTGAAAAAGAAGTGGTGCAGGTGCAATTGAAGTATACAAGCTAAAGATTGTATGGCGAGTAGCAACTGAAAGTGTAATTCCGTTGTAAGCCGTTGATCAACAGCAGCTAACAACCAGCTTAGTATGATCCGCAATTAAGAAGTAATAATATTATATTTATACTAAGTTAAAAATAAAAAATAATATTTAAATCGAGTTTGAAAACATTATAGGCTAGTTAAATAAATAATTATAAGACATTTAATATTATCATACTTTAATTATTAAATATATAATACAATTTAAACACCATCCAAAACTAGAAAGGTTAAAATATTAATTAAAACTATAAACAATCAATAAAACACAAACATTTTGAAAATAAAAATAATAAATAGAATAAATAAGTAGTAGGTAGTTCTGTTTATCATTAAAAGTAGACATATATATCAACAGAATTTAAGTACTTGGCCAAACAACAGGACAAGAGCCAGTTTTGGCAATATTGCGTTTATCAGTAGAATATCGGGACACATCTAATTTTATGTATATGGTAACTATCGCATTAAAATTTCATTTAAAAATAGATTGAAAGTAAATTTAAGTTTAATTTTAATTCATGGAACAATGTGACATATGATATTATTTTAATTGCCTCTCTTATAAAATGCACTCAGTGGTGCTTCCCCCGTTGTTCAGACGAGCGCTTCAATTATGAATTATAACGTTAAATAAGACCAAGAATTTCATGTTTTCATTATTAAATTATAAACCTTTTTTTAGAGTTGATAATTTTGTTAAAATAAATTTGAATCTGAATTAAAAAAGATATTAAAAAAGAAAAATAATAAAATTAGCTATTATAACTACTTAAGATTTAAGTATTTATTTTGACTTTCTCGAGCAAGCGATAAATATTTTTATATAATGTAAAAATTAAAATCTTCAGATTTCTATAGAAATAATCAAATTAGTAAAGTTTGGATTTTTGTGATATAACATATAATTTTAGTGCAGTTTTAACCGATTACAACATAAAACCAATTCATGAAATCTAGATTGCAAATAAGCAAATTTATTTTGCATATATTGATTATTTCTAAATTTAGAAGCATATTTATAAATTATAAATACAAACAAATATTTTTTATATTAATATCAATTTTCATTGACTATTATATATTATACCATATTATCATATATAATGGTATTTAATATTTATATATGAGGGTATATATAAGAAGTACATGTAGAACTTGCTAAATTATATCTACACTACTATGAAATTATAAGCATTTGACACATTTAATTTAATTTTAAATGCACATTTAAAAGAGTACATAATTTAATTTGAATTAATGTTAACAGTTTTTTTCTCCATATATTTATTGAAAAATAGATATATTTTATACATTTTAAATCATATATTTGAATATTAATAAATTTTTATATACATTGATGCATAATGATCAGTGCAATGAGAGTAGAGCACAATCAATTAAGCAGCTTCTTAATCAATGTATTATATGGTATGTGTGAAATAAATTAACTCTCAACTTAAAATAATAACTTTATTGGAAATAATTCTAAGTCCAAATATTTATTTTTATTTTTTTTTATTAACCCATCAAAATAATTTAAAGCCCAATTAATTTATTCGTATATTTTAATAAAATATTGATCATTAATATTAGAGATTTAGTAATAAGTAAAATGTTTATTCAAAAATAAAAATTGTCAATCAATTATAAAATTATTTTATATATTTTATAATCTAATAAATTATTTATAGACTTCTAGTAAATTACAAAACTATACTAGTTACTTATTTTAGTGAACGATTGAAACTGAAAGTAAAAAGAAGAAAACATTTTAAAGAACATACAATTATTTTTGTTTAAATCAATTTGGTAATTTGTATTCATTTTATCCAAAATAAAAACAATTAAATTCATAAAAAATGTTGCTACAGAATTTTTTAGTAAGGTTTATAGAAATATAAGTTTAAAGTACACACTGGTGTACAAAAAAATTGCAAACAATTTAATCTTATTACATAATTATTAGTCTTAAAAATTGTAACAAAGTAAATACAATGTTATTTAAACAATAATATTAGATATGATTATATGAATTAGAACGTTCAATCACTGATGGTATTCAATACATACATAAGTTCCAACCGTCGACAACAGTTCACAACTGTGACGTACGAGACACTACAGAATGTAAAGAACTTAGAACCAAGCTGGAAAGGTTTCGCAGCTAAGAACAAGACACGAGAAGATAGGTCCAATAACGGTCAGAGAACAACGTACGGGACCCGGTCAGAGACTGTTGTTTGTCTTGTGACAACCAAACAAAACGAGTCACGGACGCATGAGGTACTCACCATGGGCCGTTCCGCTAACTCCAATAATGTTCTAGAACGCCGGGCGATGACGAACGTTTTAGTGAAATGGCGACGGACGCATGTCATTCGCCTCGGTGATGGAACGGGTACAGCGGATCGGCGGTGAGCCGTTTGGAGCAACGTGAATATTTACGTGGCCCAACCGGACTGCAGGTGACGGACGACGTTGATAATCAGTCGTTATCAGCAACTCGTAGAGCGCATGTACAGAGTATGCCGCAGCCAGGGCGCGACGATTAAGCGCGGAACAGCGATGGTCACACGGTGCAGCACTCGTACGTTTGTCTGCGGCGATGTGTTATTGTTGACACTGCGACGGGCCATCGTTATCACAGTTATCAAAGGGGTTCGGTGGTTACCAAAGTCGCGGTGCCGCCGACCACCCGTCGGTCGCGCTCGTGTACGCGTCGCCGCCGCGAAAACATTGACGTGTGCCGTCGTCCCGGTCTGTATGAGGTGGGTGGGTACCGACGGTAGCTGTAGCGTTCGACAACATTGGTCGCGCGGACACCAGTCCCAGCCGTCGCCATCATATACCGGCAGACGGCCGACAGTAGTACCATTGTACGCTCATATGGATTCTCATCGCTGGCGTATGGAAAGTAAAAACAAATAGCAGTAGGATAACGAGAGAGAGAAAGAAAAACAAAGAAAAAAAAAACCAGACAATAATCACAATCGTGGTCACCGTCGCGTTTCACTTGGCACCGTCTCCGCCCGAACCAATTAACTCGAATCTCAACACTTAATTTTTAATTATTATTGTTCCTGAAATTAGCGTGACCACGACGTCTACGGTTATCAAGGTCTGCCGTGCCCCTTTAATCCCGTTCGTCGTGATCGGAGTTTTCTTCAACAATCTCACAAACTCTCCCTCCTCCCCTCATTACACACCTGGTGGTCGGATTGCTAACGCAGCTTTGGTGAAAAGGCGAGATCCACCCTTGCGTCTTCGACAAACAGCATAATTCACAATGTCCACGAACGGCAAAGAAGTGTCATTCACATCTTTGGACGCTAGCAATGAGGTAAGCGGCGCTAGTCTGAGCCTATATACGAATGTGTGTTCTCCCTGTATCTATCGGTCTCGATTCCTGAGCACACAATGTCCGCAATGCATTTAGCATTTACTCTTTTGTTCCTAGAAAATAACAGCTGCCAAAATGCCTTATAAAAGCTACAGGCCTAGATCCGTGTCTACATGTTCAACAGACTCGTGTAGCTCTGGTGAGTATTTCTTTTTATGGCTTTTTATTTTTTTATTACATTGTATGATCTAGTAAATGTTACATGTTATCTCTAGACCTCTTTTACATATATATATATATATATATATGTTTAAGAAACATTTTTTTCTTTAAGTTTTTAAAGCAGCACCTAATATAATAAAATATGAAAAATAGCATCTGATGAAACAATATGTTTTCTCAAAAATTATTCAATAATCGAAAGAAGTTGTAAACCATTGAGTAACTTAATAATGATTTTTCTTGAAATATTATTGTCTATATGAATACTATTTATATTTTAAAAATAGCATTGAAAGCAGTTATTTGTATATTATATATTTTAATTTTAATACTTCCAATATTAAGTATGTATTAATAAAAGACTTAGGAATACATTAATTAATAAATGGGTTACAGGAGTCATAAATTAAATTACTATTATATAAATTATTTTCTGATATAAGTATTATATAAATTAATTTATTATTTGTATTATGATATTAATATATTTTATATTTTTTATAGCAAGTTTATCTGAAGATGATACTCCAGTTAGGTCAAGAAAACAACTTAATAGTTCTGGATTTAGTGACTTTTGCATTAAAGATATTAGGCTAAAGGATTTTGGAAGACGTGAAATTGATTTTGCAGAACAAGGTATAACATAGTAAATTCACATGTATAAAAATTTGAATAGAAAAAAAATTGTTGACATATTGATACAAATATAACATGTACTCTAAATCTATTTCAAGTATAGAATTATCCACTGTCAAATTTTTATGTCTAATAACCAAAAATATTTAAATTTAAATTAAAGTTGTTTTTTTGAATTATACCTAAGTATTATATATAATTAATTAATTTACATTTCAAATATTTTGTTACAACATATTTAAATATTAATTATAATTTTTTATTTTCAAAATATATAAATTTTTGCATTTTATTTTTTTTTAACAAGAAAATTTATTATATTATAATTTTTTAATTTTTCTGAAGTAGGTCATACATCATAAATTGGTACTCATTATTACATTTTATAAGCATTAAACATAATACCTATATTTTTGTACAAAATATAAAACTGAGTATTTATTATTAGTTTATGATTACAAAATAATTTAGTTAAAATCATTAAATTATGTTCATGTTATAAATAGCTCAATATAAACATTAAAAATATTTTGTTCATGACATGAGAAACTTTTACTATATTTTTATCTAGAGTTTTTCTATTTTAAAAAGTATAAGTACTTATAAACATTACTTATAAATAGTTATAAATATAGAAAAAATATTATGACATTAAAAGGACTTCACACACGCATGTGTTGTTTTCGTCTGACATACATATAACATAGCAAATTTGCGTTCAGTGATTAAAATGTAGTGAAGTTAGCTTTAATATTAGAGTAAACTGATCTATAATAAACTTTAAGGGAAGAACATTATCTGTGTTTTGTTAGTCAGTTTTTCCGATATTTTAATTTTTAAGCGTGTTATGAATATGTAAAATATAACTTTTTATTTAAGACTATTAATGAATGATTGTTATTATTATTAATATTTATGTAATTGGAAATTTGAAATAAATAACATTTAAAAAAACATCATAACTCGCTAAAAAATTTAATAATTGGAAAAAACTGACCAACAAAACACAAATAATGTCCTTCCCTTAAAATTTGATTATAGGTCAGTTTACTTTAATATTAAAGCTAACATCACTACGTTTGAATCAGTAAACACAAATTTGCTATGTTGTATGTATGTCATATGGAGACAACACATGCGGATGTACGTCCTCTTAAACAAAATGTATAATAAAATATGATTTTATTAATTACGATTAACATTATATAAAAAAGCCAAGTTAATTTATAACTATCATTATATTATATTATAATGCATACAATATTTATTTTATTTTAGAAATGCCTGGCTTATTGTCTTTGAGAAAAAAAATGATAGATGACAAGCCATTGCGAGGAGCTAAAATTGTTGGATGTACATCTATTACGGCTCCAACTGCTGTTAGTCACAGAACTATGTTTTGTTTATTTTTATACGACATTTTCTAATTGTTTTGTTTAGGTATTAATTGAAACATTAGCTTCTTTAGGCGCTGAATTAAGATGGTGTGCTTGTAATATTTATTCAACGCAGGTATTATACATTATGATGTTTAATCCAGTTTTTGTTCTTTATTCTTTGTTTATTTTAAATGGATTTAATGTTAAGTCAACTAAAATTAATTATGACATTATTTTAAAATTTTGTTTTAGAATGAAGTTGCTGCTGCTTTAGCAGAAGCAGGTAATAATGATCATCGCAAGTTATATTATTGAAAATAAGGGAAATGAGATACTATGCAAAAGTGTGAAAACTTATAGCATAATTAATCTTTTTATGGGTTAATTGAAAGCATGAATTTATAGAGTATAAGCTATATCCATTAAGATCTAGTATTTCTAAACACTATAATATATTAATGTTCTATTTGGAATTTATAACAACCGATCAATCATATTAATGGTTTTGAGTTATAAATTAGGACTGTGTTAGTATGCATAATCATTTGACATTAGCAAAACAGAAGTTTACTCTCATTCAAAAAAACATGTTTTGAATTATGTATGATTGACTTATTTAAAATATTAATTGTACCTATATTTAATTTGGTATTCAATTACATTTTGTATGTATATTGTTGTAGTTTTTAACTTTAATTATTATTTTGTATAATACTTATATATAATAAAAAAAAAAATTGTCAATTTATTATATTTAATATATTATTAAATGTCCAAGACAGTACTTTATTATATATTTCAAATTATGAAACCAATTTTCATAAAATCTATGAATATTTATCAATTTGTTATTTATTATAAAAGGTATTCCTGAAATTCCCATTTACCAGTTTATATATAATATATATGCCATTAATAGTCAACCCTGTATTATAAAAAATATTTAGATAATCACTATAGTTTAATGCTAACATTTAAAACTATAAATATTTTATTAAATTTTATATTTACAATAGAACAATGTATTTATTTTTTTTATTTATTTATTAAGTTTATAAATTTGTATAATAACTATTTTTTCAGTGAAATTTGCTAGATACTTAAAATGCAGATCATAATTTAAAAAGTTATAAATATCAATTAAACTACAACTATTTTTGGGAATAAAAATGGTTGATATTTGTATTTATAACTCAACATTTTAAATATTTAATTAATGTAGTTACTAAATTTTAGGATTCCCAATATTTGCTTGGCGAGGTGAATCTGTTGATGATTTTTGGTGGTGTATTGAAAAATGTTTTGAAAGCAAGAACTGGAAACCTAACATGATTTTGGATGATGGTGGAGACGCAACTAATTATTGCCAGGCAAAATGTCCTAGTGTTTTTAAAAATTTAATTGGTAAATATATTAACAGTTGCTTGATAAATATTTTGTTTTGTAAAGTTTGAAAATTAGGTCGTTGAAGTTAAAATTATAATTACTTATTAATGAACTTATATAAATTATTTGTAGGTGTTTATAATGATAATTCCAAATTTTATAATTTTTTTTAAAAAAAAGTAAAATTATTAATCATAAAAAAAATAATAACTAATTTAAAATAATATTAGGTGTAATTATACTATATATAATATAGCAAAATAGCTAAAATAGTTATTGTTTCATCTTCCTTTTTTTAACTCTGTATTATTAATTCAGTATTTCAAATATAATAGTTTAATATATAATATAATAATTCCAAATTACAAAAAATAATACTTATAAAATAAATATAAACACGTCTTTGTTAAATCAATATATACCTATAACCTATTTACTTTCAACATCTGATTTAAGGATAATGAAAAAAAAATGTATTGCATAACTTGATTCTGAGTTCCATAATAATTAAATATTATGAAGCTATATTAAAGTGGAATTACTCTTATCTGTTCTTCAATATTTTAATTAATAACCATTAAAATTAGTAATTTTAATAAATATGATAATAATTAATAAAAACGAATTAGGAAAACAGTTTAGTTATAGGTCAGGAAAATGGACAGTGGATCCATTAATTTTTGTTAGACATCTAGTAGAGAAGTATAAAAAAAAAAGTTATATTTGATGTTTATAAATTTAAAAAGGCGTGCGAAAAACTGTTAAGAGAAGTTTTAAAGTGGGCATTAATGAGAAAAGGTCCCGAAAATATGTATAAAACTGATTCAGAATATGTATGAAAGCTTCAAGACTAGCGACAGAAATTTGTATGTTGTAATAGAAAATTTTAACGTAGGAGTTAATGACGTAATCATTGATTTTCGAATACATTTTTACAAAGAAAATGCAAAATGTATGATTTATATTATAAATTTATTTAATCTGGAATATATATATATATATATATATAACGAATAATGCGTAGCATGAAAATGTTGTTATAGTATCCATGACGTCACAGCCAGGGGTATATTTAAACTTCTATGGGGCGGGGGGTGACTCAAATTTTTTTTATTCAGGCTCAAAATATACAAATAAAATGTTTGATAATATTTAAATCAAGTGAATTCTTAATATTTATGGTTTTTTTTTTTTAATCTTATGCCTGATCCCCTTAAAATCGACTTTTGTGTAGTTATTTTTAACACCTGTGTTTTGAAAGTTACACTTGTATTTTATTTAATTTTTCACTAAGTATGGACCCAACAAAAAGCCCAATTCAGTATTTAAAAAAATTTTGAATTGTGTATCTCAGTATAATCAATTCTTTAAATACGGATTCATGGGAGGCGATCGCCCCTTTGCCCCCTAAAATACGCCCACAGTCACAGCCCATGAAACTATAATAATAACAGTGATGACGAGAATATCAATGTTTCGTTTCTTTTTTAAATTTGAATTTAGAATTTATTTTGGTGCTTTTACTGTAGTTTTAATTGTATTTCATTATGTTTACCTGTAACTCAAAACTTATAGTAAAAGCAAGGACGTTCAAGGGTGTTCAACCCTCTCCCCTCTTAAATTACTATCTTGTTAATAAATACATTTGAAATATATAGTAGTAAAAATATTGAACCCCCTCCTCCCCTGAAAAAAATTTCCAAGCTCACACCTAGGTAAAAGCATCAAAATAAATTCTAAATTCCAATTAAAAAAAGAAAAAAAATATTAATACTGTCGTCATCACTGTTATCGTAGATTCATGGGCTATGACGTCATACATTCTTTGAAAATATTTTCTTGCTAAGAACCGTTTTTGGAATATTACATATGCGTGATTTATTCATAGCAAAAACGTGGAATGACTTTCTCGGCAATTTAAGAAAATAAACGCGCAGTAGTAACAATGAGGCCAACAGCAGTATAACGTACTATAATATATTATATATATAAATACGAAATATTATATTTCTTTATACATATACACTAGATTAGTGCTTCATGATTATGCTCTTTAGGTATATTCAGTGTTTATGATCTTATATAATTATGTACGTAAAAAGAAAGTAAGATAAGAACATAAGAGATTACCTAGTTGTTGAGTTTTAAATTCAGTTAGGTTGATAATGAGACTTAAAGGGCGTTTATTCAAAAAAAAAATAAAACGAAGACGAAATGGGGCAGATACATACACAATGAAGGTTTTTAAGGGTTTAACCCCCTCCCTTAGAAATTAAGGAAAATAAATAAATATGTTTTTATAGAGTAAAAGTGGTTTATAGATTTTATAAATATGAAAATATACCTACAAATTAAAATCCTTCCCAAAATATATTTTTGTGTAAGCCCCAATTTAATAAGTATTCACATTGTAATTTTAAGTAAAAAGATTTAGATGATTTACTTTTCCTTCACAGACTACTGTCAGGTTAATTATAAAATTGCATATTTCATGTTATTATATCAAACAATTTTTTTTTCTATATACATATTTGGTAAAAATAGTGTTTTACATATGTAATATGAAAGCAGTCGCATAATAACTACTGTATACATAAGATGTTTACTAAACATATAAAACGGGTAATTTTCGAAATATAAACAAGCTAAAAAAAAGTTAATTTTAAGGTTTAATTTTAATAATGTAAAAACTTTATAAATACCTGATTCTATAATTTTTTTTTTTTTAAATAAAATGTAATTTTGGGTTTTGATTTGAAAAAGGACACTTAAATTTACTACACATATATTTTTTGATTTTAGTTTTAATGTACATAATTTTAATAAAATGCATGAATTGAAAATGTTTTTTAGGGATTGTTGAAGAAAGCACCACTGGTATTCATCGTTTATATAAATTATTGAAAGCAGAAAAACTATTAGTACCAGCTATTAATATCAATAATTGTGTAACAAAAACTAAATTTGATAATCGTTATAGTTGTAGAGAATCTGTAATTGTCAGGTATGTATATTGATAATGTTACAAATATTTTTTTATATACATGTATATAAATGTTTTATACTTACAGTCTAAAGAAATGTACTGATTTAATGTTTGGTGCAAAACAAGTTGTGTTATGTGGTTATGGAGAAGTGGGCAAAGGATGTTGTCAATCGTTAAAAGGACTTGGTTGTATAGTATATGTTACAGAAATTGATCCAATTTGCGCTTTGCAAGCATGGTTTGTAAAATTGAAATTTTAGTTGACTCTTATTATGTTTTAATCACACATTTTTTTTTCAATTTTTATATTAAATTTAATTAAACTGATAAAAAATATTTATTTTGCCTCACATACAGGCCAATATATAACTGAACATCCAAATGCACGAAAGATATTTCTTTTAAATTTACTTATTACTATATTATTTTTATTTTCAAGACAATTAAATAATTTAAACATTTTAATAAATGTTTACTCATAGATAATTGTATAATTTTGTATATTGCCATAGTAAATAGTATTCTTCAAGATAATTTGGTTACTTTATTAATTAAGAATAAGAATGAAATAATTCTTGTCAATAATTTTTCTATATGTTTTCTTTAATGTTATTTTTTTAGTATGGATGGATTTAAAGTGGTTAAGCTGAATGAAGTAATTCGACTAGTGGATATTGTAATTACAGCTACTGGTAATAAAAATGTAATTGTTCGAGAACATATGGATAAAATGAAGTCTGGCTGTATTGTATGTTGTATGAGTTATTGTCATAATGAAATTGATGTGGTAAGTCTATGGATAAGTATTAAAATTACAATTTTCATTATAATTTAATGAAGTGAATAAAGATAATATCTTATATATCTTATTGCTTATATTATAAGCATATGTTAATTACAACTAATATGATACAATTAATTACTATAGTTCCTATAGTTATAATATTAATATAAATTGAAATTTAATTTTTTTTTCATAAGGCTGCATTACATACACCAGAGTTAAAATGGGAAAAGGTACGTTCACAAGTAGATCATATCCGTTGGCCTGATGGAAAAACTATGATTTTGCTTGCTGGTGGTCATCATGTAAATTACACTTGTTCTAGCATTCCATCATTTGTCACGTCTATTACTGCCGCAACACAAGTATTTATTATATTTTATTTTTTTTTATGAATAAAAAATGTATTAAATGTGATTTATTTAGGTACTTGCATTAGTGGAATTATTTAATGCGCCAATTGGTCGCTATAAGAGTGATGTATATTTACTGCCAAAAAAAATGGGTACAATACTATTCAAGCATAATTTTATTTATATTTGTATCAAATAACAATTAAAATAGAAACTGAAATTAATTTACTATTTAATTTTAGACGAGCACGTGGCAAGTCTTCATTTAGCAACATTTGATGCTCATCTTACAGAACTTAGTGAAGAACAAGCCAAGTACATGGGATTACCAAAAAATGGCCCATTTAAACCTAATTACTATAGATACTAAATGAAATAATAATTTAAAAATATTTTTAATTCTTGTTCAAAAACACAAATATAAAATTACACCTACTTTATTATAGGGAATACAATATTATTTTTATATACATGAATATTTACATAATATTTAAAGATAATTAAGGAAAAACTGAGTACTCTGAAAATTCCATTCTTTTTATACTATTTCTCCTCACATAAAAATTAAACATTTATTGAAAAAAAAGTTTATACAAGTTTTCAAATTCAGAATTTTACTATTTATGTTTTTTTTTTTTTTTTTTAATTTAAAGTGTTATTACTACTGCTTCAGACTTTCCAGATACTTATATACTCTTATTTCTTTTATTTTTTTGTAAAATAAGTATTAACTTTTGGTTTTTAAATTCCGAACAAAACATTTAAAAAGTTTTAGAAAAGATTATTTTCTTTGGAGGTTGTATAAGCATAAATAAATTATTGACTTTTATTTTTAATTATAATTAATAAGCAACTAATTCAGTATTTAATTAAAACTGTTAAAAAAATTTAAATATATTAGCTAAAATAAAAATAATCGGTTTCTTTTATAATTTAAGAATTTATACTAGTTTTATAAATAATATAAGTAGAGAAAAAAATGTAGAGTAGTATTAAAATTATTATTAAAAAAAAAAAAAAAAAAAAACCCTTAGTAATATCAAGTTTAATTTCAAATATTTTATATATTACAGTGAGTATGACAAAAAATTCTGTTTAGATTATATTTAATGAAAATAGTATGACAATGGAGACAAAATTATAATGTACAATACAAATCAAATGTGAGGTTTAACTATAATATATTTATTAATTATTTTTATAGCTGGAAGTATTAAATGAACATTTAACAATGGATCAAGTTATAAAATTATACCAATGCTTTTTAAAAATTGGACCTAAACTCCAAAGGTCTTAATTATTTACCATCATATTTTATAACATTTTTTATCAGTTATAATTTGAATTTTACTTTAAATCTCATTTTAATACAATTTAACAATAAGTTTACTATGAGTTTAATGCAACCATATTTTTGTCACTTTTAATATTTAAATGATTACTACTCAATTTTTCTTTATTAATTTCATAATTGTTTGTTACACTTTGTTGAACTTGAGGCAATAAAAAAGTTTGATGTTTGCTAGTAACTTAGTAATTTGATCCATTTACTTCAGATTTTTGGTTGATTGATTTATTTGAAATTTAATTATAAAATTTAGTATAAAATATATTAAAAATACATTTTTAATTCTATCAACTAGTTGATTATATGTTACGAATTAGAAGTTTAATAATAATTGTAATGTTTTCTTTTTTTTTTTTAAATAGCAGCTAGTTAGATAAAAATAGATTAATAATCATTCTGGTCTAATACTTAGCAAGTTTCATATAGATACTCATATTTTTTTCTTTTTTTATTTTAACTAAAGATACTTATTATATACACACAAATATTGGTTATGTACCTAATACTTTTGATACTAATAAAATATAATTAAAACAGTATTTTCGTATTTCTGAAATGTTTAACATTTAAATGTGTTGTAAAATTAAATAAATTTTCAATTTATAAATGTTGATTTTTATTTCATATGTTTTTTTGTGGTATAATATTATAATTTGAGTTATTAGTTATATTAATTTAATTAGCACATAAACAGACATAGGATATATATGCTATATACAATTGAGAATAGTAATCTAAATCTAAAGTATTAGATATTTTACAATAATGTATTTTTTGTAAATCTGTTTAAAATATTTTTATTAATGATTTATAAAATTATGATTGTTATTAAGTAGGTTTCTATTATATTTTATAATAGCTCTCATTATTAAAATGGGTAGGTAAGCCTAATTTATGTTACTAATATATTGAAAAAAAATGTGAAGTTATAAGTAAAAACTGGGTACAATCCACAAATATTAATTTTCTTTATTGTATTGGAATTCACTATGGTTAGTATTCCATGGAACAGTTGAATAACATGGGTTAGTCAATTATAAGACCTAATACCTTTAAATTAAATTATTTATTATCTAAAGTAAGACAATTTTATTGTTTTACTCACAAGAACAATGTTATTTCATTGTAAGTAAAAAATTTGTTATAAGAATGAGAAATGTAATTTCGCTGTTGAGTTGATTATCACGAGATACCGATTAACGGAAAACTTGATGGTCACAAAGTTAACAAATGAGTAATAGAAAATATTAAGAATTTGTTAAACATACCTTTGCCTTCAATATATAAAAGATTGGATAGGGTATTGCCGACGTTGATGCGGAAACAGAAGGAAAATAGTGTTCGTTGGGTTCTGAAAGGGAAATCATTTTTCTTCGTGACAACACAACAATTACAGGCCAGACTGCTTGCTACGCGTAGTTCGAACGTCATTGTCATCCTGACAATCCAGCATGCGCCCCGTTGCACAACGTACCGATCGGTTTGAAGCGATCCAAACAAGAATCCCGAACGACAGGACGAGGAACAGTTATTCCCGATTTCGCGGTCGAAAAGTGCGTTCTCACGTCATCGCAGTCGATCGATTCTCGATAGTGAAGTATGTCCCAAACACGTTGCGCCACGCGTGATACGATGACCGAGATGGATTTTTCTGCAGTGATCTTATCGTTGTACAACCGTTGCGACGTGACTGCGCAGCGCGGTGCACCCCATCGATCCGTTCTTGGAGCGTGCCGTACGTCAGCATGTTGGCGTGTTCGTTCAGACATTCGCGACATTGGGTTCAGGCGTGACGACCAGGTGACGCATCGTTCAACAATATTAATAATCGTAAATTAAATCGCATAATTATTATCGGGTTCAAAGATCCGTTACACGAACGTTATCAGCGACAGTACCGCGAAAAATCCGAATCCGGCCGGGGACGCGTTTCGCGGACGACTTCGCGTTCGCCCGATAACGCGACGCCGAGCCGTTGATGATAAGAGTTCCGACGCGCGACGCTATCACGGATCGCGAACGAGAAATATTACACCGGGCGGATTAATGATAATAATTATAATTGTTTTTTTTTTTTACATGCGAATGATCGTCGCCTGTCTTCGGGCACCGGCGGTGGCGTCGAGCAAATGAAACACTGTTGACGTTCCGCAGCGCACACAGAATTCGTTTGTCTCACGTTTTCTCTTTCTGTCGCTCTCTCTCTCTCTCTATCTTGCTCACTCTTTTTCTCTCTTCTCCCTCTCGTTCCCGTTACTGTCGATACCGTTTCGCCGATAGTCGACCTGGTTGTTGTTGCGCGTTGAACACTTTTTGTCCTGATCTAACATATTCTCGCAACATCCATTGAACCAGATGTGAGTATGATTGTCAACGCAATTTCCGCCGCCACGACCGTGGCCAATCGGTTGGTATCGTCCGTTACCCCTATCACCGTCCCCGCAGTGTACCATCATCTTCGCCCAACGTAACGGCCCGCCCTTTCGGTCGTCCGTGTCGTGGCAATTTCACCATCGTTTGCTGGATTTCTCCGGTGCCCGTTTTCACCCTGCCGTCAGAATTTTCACACTATTAACCTGTTTCGCTGTACTTGAGGTCGTCTTGTGCGGTCCTAACATTAATTTGCCGTGGACTCGAATGAATTTCCTTTGCATTTGATTCATCACCGTTGCCAGTATTATAGTATTATCACAGATTATATGAATATATATATATATATATATTATAATAAATTATAATATATTCATATAATCTGTGGTATTATATAAAAAGAAACTGCTCTCAACTATTCATGCGTTTTATTTATTCCTACACAAATGACATTTAATTTGGCTGTTCATTAGATCTATTTAACTTGAAACTACAATAAGCGATTTTTATTCCTTGAATTGTTTGAATGCATCTAACTTGTTAAAAATTATTGCTAATGTAACCGTAGAACTTAATTAGAACATAAATACCATTGTTATAATTTGTTTTGTTTATTAAACAATAGCATTATTGAGTATATTAATATAATAATGTTCTTCAACTTCATTAATATTCAACCCGTCATTGGTATCCTGGTGAGTGTGGCGCTTACCTCGTAAGTATTTTGAAAACCATTTGTATAATTATTTCTTGATTCTTCTGATACTATTTTTACCTTCAATCGACACAATTCTAAATGTATTCTTGTTATTTTAATGATTTTATAAATAATTCTTGATATGATATCAACATGCAATATCATTAATATCGACAAAGTGAGTTTAGTGCTCATTCCATAGACATTATGGACTTAGACGAATAATAATATTTACTGTACTATTATATAACATTGCAATATAACTGTTTATTTAAAATAAACATATCTAACAAACAGAAGATATTAAAGTAAATATTATTTGAAAGATTGTATGAACAAAAGGTTTTTTTTAAAATAATGGGCTTTTTAATTTTTATTGTTTGAAATATTTGCAATCAGGAAAAATGTTCATAATTATATTTGTGAAATATTTAAATATGAATAATTTGGTGTTGGTTTCAATTTTATATACTTATGAAATAATAAACAATGGTAAAAAACAATGAGGTGAGCGCTTACTCAACACCAATGGCAAGACGTTACATAGGTCATACCAATGACAGGTTAATAATATTGATTTAAATAAAATAATTTGTTTTAACATGTATATACTAAATAACGATTTGAAATCTTTGATTTTTAACAACAAATACATTTACTTTAAGTTTATTAAAAATAAAAATTATCCTTCATTAGCTTCATTAGCTTTATAATTCAATTTTTCATTCTCCTTTAATGATGATGTACATCAATAATTTCCAAGCTTTTTCAGCCAATGAACCTTTTTTTAAGCAATATTTTTTCGTAGTGCCCCAATAAATATGGATAATTAAGTTTTATTTGTCTATTAAAAAATATAAAATATTATTATTATTATTATTCATGATATAATATTAATATTTTAATTTTTCTATAAAGCATATTACATATTGAATATAGCAGGAAACTCAAAACAGGATAATGTATATTTAATATTATATTTATGTATAATATAGCTGGTATAGTAGTAATTAGAATAGGAATGCCTATTATCTAAAATTAAAAAATAATGTTTTCTTATCCAAATTTCAATACAGTTTGTATATGTAATCAAGGAATTATATTTGAATTGAAAAATAAATATTAAATTTTTTTATAGTAAAACGAACAGAGCCCTTGAGAAATTGTAGAGCCTTAAAGACTTCACGGAGCACAATTTTAAAATCACTGATGTACATGATACAAGATACAAAATAATAAAAAAAAAAAGCTCTTGCAAATATATTAAAGCTCAATTTAGATAACATTATAGCGACTAAATTATTCTTTACTTTGAAAAAAATTAATATAAATTAACAGATTTTTGACAGTTTTTAGAAATCAATATTTTTGTATATGGTATTTCTAAGAAAATATTCAATTTGATTTGCATAATTACATTTAATTAAATATGCACAGATTAAAAAAGACAAAAATTAAAAAAAAGAATAATAATAATAATGATTTAATATTGTTATATTTATAGATAATGTTGAGTTATTTAAAAATTTCTGGTTTTTTTCTAATAATCTTTTACTCTAAAAATAATAAAAATCATTATATTTATGTTCAGATAAAAACAGAAAATTAAAATCTATTTTATGAATTTTTAATGAATTTAATTTTTCAGTAAATGCATTTATATTATTTTACTATATATTGGTTGTATTTTTTTTTCAGAATTAACTTAGATGTTGATGAATGATGGAAACTGAAACTTTAGTGATGACTAGCAGAAGAAGAATGGTAATTAAACCACTATCGTTAGCAGAAACTCTACAAAGCAAAAAGTCAAATTTATTGGAGGAAGCTAAGGACAGTTCTCCGGTAAGTCTATTATAAATAGATACATTTTTAATTGTGTAAGTTAAACGATTATTTATGTATATTGGATTATTTTTTAAAAAACATAAGGTTTTCTAATAATTTATCTATACAAAAAAACTTAATTTTCATGTTCAACTGTTATTCTGTTTTACTTTATAGTTAAACTATACAATTTACTTTTATTTAAATTGTTATATTAAAATATATTAAGGAGTTCCAATTATTAAAAAGAACGATTCTTTAATCTTTATTAAAAGAAGCTTAGAAAAAAATAATAGACTTAATGCTACTTAATTCTTTAATATAGTAAAAGTACTTATGCCCATATATACCTAGTTTAAAATTACTAAATAATAAATAGTTTAATGAACTAAGATTTATTTTTAAAGTATTTAATATTATTGTTTTAGTATATAATTTATATTATATAATTATTTTATTTTTATTTTAAAGATTCCATCTCCTGCAACCAGTGAGAAAAAAAGGATTTTACTTCAAGAATCTGAGCTTCCTATAATTCCTACAGTACAACGTAGCAAAGTCAAATTATCATGCACAATTAGCAACAATTTAACCGACACTGATGATTCAGATTCCAATGATTCTACTTTAAACGACAATCCCACAGAGAAAAATAAGCCTTCAAATAATAAAAAAACGTACTACGCGATAACTTTATTTTTGTGTTGGGCTGCTATTCAGTACTGGATGATTGCTGTAGCAGGTTTTGGAGCAGTATTTTTTGCTGTCTCTGCACTTATTGCTATTTATATTAACACAGGTACAGGAAATAAACGCAATGTATTGAGCGCATATTCTGTGTTTAATCCTCAATGCACACCTATTCAAGGATCAGCAGATCCCAAGCAATTGGAACGTGAATTAATTTTTGGTGGTTTATAATGTTACATCTGTTTGAAAGGATTTTACTATTTTCAATTATTTCCAGGTGCTACTATAATTTATTTACAGTACAGTTTTTATTGTAAATTGATTTTTGATTTATAATTAAAAAATATGTGATTTTTACTAAACTATTATTATATTTTTGTATACAAATAAAAATCATATTGTGTTTTAAAATTCTCAAATTAATTGTTATTATGTAATGATTAATTTAATATATTATTAAATATAATAATTTTTTAATATAATATTTACAATTTTATATGTATATATTCATTTTAGATTTTTTGAATAAATTATCTAAATTATTAAATTTAAGATGAGTAAACTATTTTTAATTATCGAACTTGCATCACAATTTTTCTTATATCATATTTAAGAAAAAAGTATTTCTTACTCATTTATTGTAATTAAATTAATTGTTCACCTTTAGAAGGCAAAATTATCAATATTTCTTAATGAATAAACAGTATTTCAAAGCTAAATCAAATGTGCTATGGTGAAATGCATTCATATTTATATTAATATCAGGTTTTGCAGTAAGAATAGTTCTATGTTATTAGAAGTGTGCAACGAAAATTAAATTCTACTGAGAAAAATATGTTAATGTACAATTACTGATATTAAAAATATTTAAATAGAAAAAGTATGCTGTGAAAATTGTAATTATTTTTAAATCAAAGTTTATACTCTTGTTGAAGATTTTTAAAATTTAAATTTTTCAAAAACCTCAAAATATATGAATTCTAACACATTTTATTAGATTAGTCAAAAATGTTCGATAAATGATGAAATTATAATGTTAGGATCATTGAAGTATGATTTTGAACAAATATTGTTTTAATTTAGCAATTTATTATCACTTGACACTTTTTATGTTTTTAAAGACAAATTTTAAAATACTTATTGCTAGACTTTGTTGGTACTGTCTAAGATGAATTTTATTGTTTTAGTATAATTGAATTATTTGACAAATAGTTTTAATATATATTGTATACAATGTAAAATAAATAAATAAAACGAGTGATATATATAGATAAATAGGTATATTATATATACATAGTGGGATATGAACAAGTGAATGATTTACTGTATTTCTCTTTTAATCTTGAAACCAATGTACCATCCCTTTTTAGAAAATCATTCTAGGTGAAATGTTTCCATTGGTGAATATTTTGTCATATCTATAGGGGGGCTTGAAATTTTTACCTTAACTTTAGTTACAGTGGCACCCAGGATGTTTTAGTTTGTTAGGTATGAAGTTTGTTTGTTTATGTGTGTTTGTTTTACATTGCACTTCAACCAACTACTTATCTTTTTCTTCACTGTGTTAGGCGCCAAATATGTACAGGTAATAGTGTAATACAAACAAACAAAGAAATAATTTATGTCTATTGTATATTTTATTTTAATGTTAAAAATCTATTTTTTCTGCTAATTAATCTACAATTTTATCTGTATCAATAAATATATACATATCGTAACCATTTAGTGAAATTGACCATTTCATGAAATGGAAATGGTTTTTTAACACTTGGTGAAATACAAAAATATTTCATGATATGGTCACTTTTTTATGAAACGGTCGCATAGTGGTCCAAAATGAAAGTTTGGCGCGTCAAAATTAATAAAAAAAAAATTGTCTTATAAATATTTTCTAGCGATAAACTGGTTGTCAACAAAATACTGATTACATAAATAACTTTTTGTAATATCAATATCGAAATAACTGCAGATAAGAAATGCATTATAGTAAGTAAATATGTGAACGTTATTCGTTTATCGAGTAAACGCCGAAAAGAGTGTACCTTAGGGTGGTTCTTAGTTACAGAAGAAGAAATTTTTTTTAAATATTCTTTGGCCGGGTACCCGCCATTTTGTTTATTATAATCAGTAAGTAATTGGGACTAAATTTGGTTATGATAACTCACCTCCATCCCGTGCCTCAAAAAGGTTGAAAATTTGTCATAGAGGGTAGTTTTGTAGTTTTGTGTATTTAACTCAAAAACTATAGTACTGAGCGAAAAAATGTATAGAAGATTAATAATTAACAAATACAACTTCTATTATAAATATTTAAAAGAAAATTTTGATTATACCTTCGGTCGACCACAAATAGATGTGTGTAGCCAGTGCGAAAGTTTAAACACGAAAATAAGAGATCCAGCTTTAAGTGAGAGTGCTAAACGGGGTGCAGCTGGTGAGCTTATATTATACAAAAGAAAAACCAAAAAATTTTATACCGAGTCAAATACTGCCAAAGAAAATAAAGATGATAACGGTCGTTTTATGTTTTAACTATACGTCAAACTTACCCTTACCAAACATACCTGTTCAAGAGGTGTTTTATATACGTCAGTTATGGGTAAATATTTTTTGTATACATGACGTAAAAACAAATCAGGCAAAAATGTATATGTACCATGAATGAGAAGCTAGTAAGTCTCTGAATGAGGTTTGTTCTTTTCTTCTATATTATTTTGAAAAATATATCCCCGACAACACAAAGAATATTATTCTATTTAGTGATGGGGCAGCTGGGCAGAACAAAAACCATACAGTGGTGAGGTTTCTTATGAATTTATGCGATCGAGGAAAGTTTGAGGCCATCACTCATTTTTTTCCAGTTCGTGGCTACTCGTTTTTGCCATGTGATAGGGATTTTGATTCTATAAAAAGACTTAAGAAAAACAGATCGTATCTATACACCACAGCAATACGTTCAACTTATCATAGAGGCTAGCAGGTGCAGTCGTTTTTCCGTTCACGAAGTGCAAACAAACGAAATTTTGAGTTTTAAAAACTGGTGGCCATCTTCATACAAGAAAACAGTAAAATCAGACGAAACTTCAAGAAGAGGAATTCATAAGGACGACCGAATTACATTCAAAATATCTTCATACAAACAATTTATTTTCAGACATCGCTTACCTGGAAAAGTAGAAGTCAAGACCTTCATTAATGGTCTCTCTTCATCTACGTTTACTTTTAGAAAAACCAATCAATCTCCTGACTTACCAACTACCAAAGCCTATCCTACTGAGAAAGTTCCAATAAACAAAAAAAAAAAAAAATTGAAGACTTGAAAAAGCTCTCGGAATATACTACAGACTATTCAGATTTCTATAACATTATTTTGAGCTGGCCAATATTAGCCCAGGAGGAAGAAATAGACGAATCAGAATATGAAGAACAGTAATAATAAATTAAAACATTTTAATTTGCGTAAAATATATTTTTTTGATACCTTAAACATCTATTTGTAATAATTTAATTTTTAATAGTTTTTCAAAAGTCTACTTTGTTAATTTTTCCTCAAATTAAACTTATTATTACCTTAAAACTAGAAAATTATTGTTGTAAATGTTTTTTATTGCAGAAATACCATAACTGCAAAGGGAAAGGGTTTAAATTTACCCCTTCCCTTTAACTTTGGTGAGCATATGATTATATGAGTATGTTTGATGTTATGCATAGAAACTTCCTCTACTTCCAGAAATGAAAAAAAATTTTTTTTAGGAAAATGCGAAGTTTTTATTAATTTCTCGAAAGTTTAAATTTCTGTACTTAAGGGGCTTCTGAAATAAGCGATTCAATTATGTATTTTAATGTTGCTCATAAAATATATATTTAAAAAATTTGTCGTAAGTCTGTAATTTTCCAAGAAAAATAGTAAAATAGGAAATATTTTATTTATTTTGCAAAGTAGATTTTTATATTTATTCAAGTGTATTTGATAATATATTAAAAATACGAAAAAATTTGTTACATAAAAATCGAATGAAATTTAATTTCCTGTTTCGGAATTTGCGGATTTGTTGTGTTGTCTGTACGTAGACCTCTACTTAAACTACTAATATTTAATTCAATTTCAAAATATCTATGTAATTCGATCGATTTGTTGTAGTAGCTCCTATATGAACACAGAATGACTTTGAATTTATTATAATATTTGTGTTTCCACTGAATGGAAAAATCTAATAATCTGGACATTTTGAAACTTAATTACAAATTTACTTGCAAACTAGTAGTCGAAGCAGGAGTTTATGATACAGACAACGAAAAAACTAAAATTTACCGAAAAAAATAAAATCAAACGGTCGACGACCAATTAACTACCGATAGGTAGGTACTAAGATAATGATAATTTACAGCGTATAATTTTTCAATTATAGATAATATAAAAACCAAATTTTTATTTAGTAGAATAATAAAGTACAATGAAAAACTATAGTCAATACGAATTATTGGTAGTAATACACGGTTTACTTTTAAAAAAGTATTATTTTATTTATTTATATTTTATTTAATAAATATAATTTGCACATTTCTGGTCTAATTGTGTATATTGGTTGGCAGCATAAGTAAATAGCATTAAAATATTCATATTTCATGACATCGGTTAGTACTTCATACCGGAACACATTGTATTTCTGAGTCAGTAGTGTACATATTAATCATGTTTGTTTAGTATCAAAGAGTTTAAATTGTTTTCCAGTATTTGCAATCCTCCAACATTTTTAACAACGCTCTGTATTTCATCCACCATACTTTACTGTCGGATCGTTCACTAAAATTGTAAATAAAAGTGACGAGAATAATTAAATTATAAATACAATTTATAATGTTGCATTATTTTGAAATCTTTGTGTGTACCTGTCTATTGAAGATTTCAAATCTATTAGGGATGTAAACGTATAACCGTTATTTTGGAAACCCAACAATACAGCTGATTCCTGAAGCATTTGTGATTGGGAAGATTGAGCTTGCATTTTGTTTATCCATTCTACCGTCTTCTGACCTTCTTTTAAAGCAAAAGATCTGTCAAACGGGCTTGGATCGCCACCGCTGGCAATACTCCCTGAGTATATGTAAAATTGAAATAATAATATAATGTTGTATCAATGAATTCGTTTAATATTGTACTCAATATTATTGGATATTGATTTTTTTATTTTATGTTCTCAACCATTTCACTAGATTTTATTAAAATTAGTTAATTGGTTTAGTTATTAAAATCTAGTAAAATCTCTGAATCGAAGATGTTTATTTATTTCCATAAAATCAATCGTTCATTTAAGCACTCCAAACGCGAGATGATTGACACGCAATTAAAATTATCATTTTTTTATGTAACATTCGATTATTATTAGTCGTTTACTGATGTTTGCGTGGTTTTTCTATAACCTTTTTTAAAATATCGAGTTCATTTAGCAGTGGCGTAACCAAGGGGGGGGGGAACTAAGGGGCTATAGCCCCCCCCCATAGGCCATGTTTATATGTATAGTATATCTATGAACTAAACTAGTATACTACTATTTTTATTTAAATATTTTAAACCATTGATATTAACTAAATTTTGAATAACAGGTGTTTGTCTTTTTCGTAGATATTACAGATTACTAATACTTCTAGTTTCTACCATGATTATCACTATCTTTTTGATGGTTATCATCGTGGCCGGCGAGAGGGTGGGACAGGGAGGGCTAGAGCCCCGGGGCCCGTTCGTTCTAGAGGGACTGTCGTTTCGGCCTTGTATACAATGTTTTTGTCGTGCCAAAGCATGTACAAGTGGTCTTGGTGCGTCTCGGCCAAATAACTGCAAAAGAAAGGCGGTCCGGAACCCCCGCAGCCCCGGGGCCTTCAGAAGTTCTCGCCGGCCCTGGTTATCATGCAAGGTTGTGGCGAGTCACTATCAAATATTTAATGATGTCAAAATGGGAAAAAGTGTAAATATTGAAATACAAATGCCACGAGTATGTAAAAGGCAAACTCAGTGAGAAAACTTTATTTCTGAAAATCCAGAAATATATTTTAAATGTTCTACTTTTATTCCTTTTCTTGGCTATTTAATAGAATCAATGGATACTCGTTTTAATCAAAGGCTTATTGATGTTATGCCACTTGAAGGACTTATTCCGGCCGATTTAAATATATATATGACGATGAAAATATTATTAGAGCTGCTAAAATATATGCCCAAGATCTCCTTGATGATACTTCATCTATAATGAGAGCTGAGCTGTTCATACGAAGGCAACAATGGAGTCAAAATACTATTCCAAAACCGAATTCTGCTGTTGATTCACTCTCTCATTGCACCAATCTTCAACTTAACATTAAAATACTTTTAAAATTATTCACCACGTTACCAGTTACCTCTTCCACTCCGGAAAGAACTTTTTCTGCACTTAATCGCTTAAAAAATTATTTAAGAAGCCCATGTCGGAAAACAGACTGAATGGATTAGCTATGGCTAATATAAATAAAAAAGAGCAATTCGATGAAAGTGAAATAATAACTGAATTTGCCAGAAATTCGCCTAAGAGGATGCAGCTGTCAGAGTGGACCAAGTGACTGAATACTGAAACCAAAATTATTATTACTATAAATTATATATTAATAAATATTTTTAAAACTATACTAAAATGCTTGAATTACATTTAAAAACTTGGCGGTAGATGGTGGGGGGGGGTAAGGGTGAATTCTCATATTCTCTATTACCTTACTTATCCAAAAAGTGATTAACCCCTCCCATTTAAAAGTCCTGGCTACGCCACTGTCATCTAGTGACAAAGAAGCGATTTTTACGTATTATTTGTATAAATATTGATTAATAAAAAAAAGCAAGAAAGGAATCAGAGAAGAGTTTTGAATTCATCCTTATATTCAAAGGAATTATCACTATCAGCTTTTTTTCGGTGTTTCCTAATTACGGACAAAGTCACAAAAACAATGCGAGTTGCGGACGAAATCTAAAAAGGTAACATACGAATTGCGGACATAAATTTCCATACTAATTGCGTACAAATTTCCAAACGTTAGGAAATTACTGATAAACTACTTAATATTGACGATATATATATATATATATAAACCTATAATATTATTGGACTGATTATTTATTAACATTAAGATTGTGCCGTTGCTTTTGAGACGGCTGTCGAAAAATATATTTAATCAGTTTACCTTACTCGTGCTTGCTTAATATCTGTCGTCTTTGAAAAATGTATAGTTTCCTTCAGAAATATGGGCAGAATTTTCTTCATCTATTTCACAAACCACAAATGCTTGTGAAAGTTTCCATGCTAAACTAAATGGTATGTTTTATCACAGTCACCCTAATATATATCAATTGATCAAGGCCTTACATAAAGTACTGACTGGTAGATATACTAAAATTAACTGTACTGCTGTAAAAAATTTAAAACAAGCCAAAAGAACTGTCGAAAAGGAGGATATTATTAGCAAAAAAATGTTGCAATATTCAAATGATAAAATCAGTAGATTATCATTTATACAGGCTGTTCCAAAACAATGTTTGCCACAAAAACTATAAAACCTGTCACAAAAAAATAAATAAATAATAACAGTAATCTATAAATAATAAATAATTTTATTAAAAAAAACTCTGTACGCAACTAGTATTATGATAACGAAAAACGTATCCGCAATTGTTATGTTACAATATTGACCTGAATAATTTCGTTAACAACTAGTATGCGTCCCTTTTTTTTTTTTAGAAAACTTCTGGAAATACACATAAAATGTATGAAATTCTATAGAATATTGAAGGAATCCTACAAAGAAATTTTATTCATTGACATATTGTCTATATAATGTAATATACTCGTATAATATAATATAGTAAATGAATAGTTAATATATATAAATAGATAAATAAAAGCTAATAAGGCCTGGAGTATTTGTGATTAATAAGTTTTGATGTAAATTTCATATAAAAAAGCACTTCAAGGTCTAAGGTTAGTTATGGTAGCACCTTTAAATCACAGTCGCGTTATTATAAAATTGCATTGATAGTAGATCCCTATTCACTTTGCTGAAAAATTGCAAAATTGCATCATGTGTCAACTGCCACGTGTGCGAAGGGCCATGGGTTTATCGAAAAATTAAAGGTTTCAGTGATTTTATACACGTGTGCGAAAATATTGCATATCATTATCATTGTACAAATTAAAATAGAATTGATCTAGTTATTATAAATTATTTATAGAGTTGTAAAGAACTGTTATCAGTACTCACCCAAAATAGATTCTCTCGTGGCAAACAGACCTTTTCCTTCTTCGGCCATCAACTTTCCTATGAAACTTGTCGTGTAATTTGAATTGGCACTTTCAGATCTATGAAATATATTATTTTTAATCATTAATTAGCATTTTTCTGAACAAATATATGTTTTTATCTGAATCAGTGTTATTAAATAATTTAAAAAATAATGTACCTACATCTATTAATTTATGTATTTCAATCTATAAATAATAATAAACATTTATTAATATAGTAGTATTGTTTTAATTGACATTTAATTTCACAGTGAATAATGTTTTAATCGTTTTAATATTTTTTTATAGCGTATTATATAATAATTAATACGAACGTTTAAATAGGCCAAAAAAGATTTTAAAAACTATTTTTTTTTTTCGTTAATTTTCACAGTTTACCATGATTAGAATACATAATAAAAACAGATTTGAGAAAATAGCTATTTTAAGGTCCACTTATTTTAGTAGACTTGAATAGAATAAAACTATTACAATTTGATTGATTTTTAATAAATTAATTTTTCGAGTTATAATTATTTGTATACCCACATGGAAGTGCAAGAGTAATTTGAATTAAATTATGGTTAATTAATTATGTGTACTTTTACCTTAGCACAAGTCCTCGATTAATTTTATTCATAGCAAATTTCCGTGCCATTCTGTATACACATTCCATTAAATCTTCGATGTTGAAGTTTTCTTCGGGAATATATGATCTGTCTGCACCACACGCTAACGCTTTAAAAATTACTTCATTAAACTAATATTCAAATAAAAATTAACTAGGTACAAAATACCCGCCATAGTCGTTAAATAACCACACTTGCCGCCCGGCACTTCAACCACGAACACTCGTGGCTTATGGCCTTCTGTAGACTGCCTTATAATGTCACATAACTGTAATTTAAAAAGAAACATTCAAACTGTTAATTATATTTTACTTTTGTAAGCTTATCGATGTTGCGTTTTTAATGAAAATCCGATAAAGACATTTCTATTGCACCAATAATAGTATTTATGAACATTTTTATAAGCAAAAACCGTGCAAATCGTTTAACGCGATTTTCAGTGTTAATCGGCGCGTTAGTAGGTATAGCTTTATGTTATACCAGAGAAGTATTAAAATAACATTTGTATATTTTAGTTTAGTAGATAACTATAATATTTGCATTAGTGAAAACTAATTCACGTTACAGCAAACGCCCAGTACATGGATACGTCTGTTTGACTGGCATGATTAATTATAACTAATTTAGCTTTTTTTTAGCTGATCAATCAATAGTAAGTGGCAAAATATACCAAATAAAAATGCGCTCAATAATTCATAAAACAATACGAATTACCTTCACGACTTGGTTTAATGCCGTATCGGTTCCCAATGAAAAATCGGTTCCCGGTATATTGTTGCTATAAGTGACTGGAACTACTATTATAGGCACTCGAAACTCTTCAAATTGCTCCCTAGTCTCGTACATCCGCAGACCAGTCCTTAAAGCCTGCAAACAGAAAACTAGTAACGTCGTGTTCGTACCATTACATGATGTATATTACATCCAATCCTCCGGCAATTATGCACGAATTGAACTTATAATGTCCCATTTGCTTTGCCATATCTGCCAACATTTTCGAATCCGGAACTGTTCTAGTTATTCCTAGCTCAACGCCGCCTCGATTTAGCCAACCTATGACGTCTGTCCATTTGAGTTCGACAATCTATTTACCACAAAACGACGTAACAATACGATGTAATTAATGCAACCCACTGTGACTTCCCCCTCCCTCGTATAAAAGCTAAATATTTATTACTGAAAATGTATTTGTTTTAATTATAAATCACTAATAATAATGAACCTAGTCAAGATTGTCATATTGTTTACATGCTACAATTTAGTATGTAAAATCATGAGTTACTTTGTTCTGTATTACTCCATCAACGCCGTATTTTGCACCGAAAATTCTATTATTTGACGATATTGTTGCTCGGACTATAGAATACGTCAGCGCGTTTATTCCGTTACTAGATCCTCCGACATTAAATATCAAGGTCCTTTTCCCCTATAAATAAAACGTTGAGTGTAATAATTATTGTAATTTAATGTTGGGAACACGGATACGAACGTTTTCATTACAACCGATTTTTTGACTAATCATTACTTTGAAGGTTTCTAGATTATTTTTGAAACCTCTGAAAAACGTTTGGTTTAAGTATATAAATTACACGTTGACAAAAACGAATTAACTGAAATGTATTTATTATGATCGTACACCTCTCTATTACTGACTTATGATTGTTACTAATGAAATATGATAAAACAAATACTTCGCAAATTCCTCTAAAACTACATATCGATAGAACTATTGCGTATAACGTACGGGCCTCGATATTCCAATGCTTTTTCAAAATCATTATTTTTAATGGCTTCTGCAACTTTTATTGTGGCTTGAACGCAATCTACCAACGATGATTCGACGATTGCATTCGATTTCAAACACATAACTTTGGTTTCATCCGAGGCTTTTAATATTGACAAAACGGCATGAGCACCCATACGTGTAGCCTATTACAAACGAGTTTAATAATGTTAAGTCTACACGGATATGTATTGATCACTCGTAGCATAACTTAAAATATTTAATGCGTGTTACCAAAGTTCTATCGAACGCCGAAGGGCTTCCGCCTCTTTGTACGTGTCCTAGAACAGTAATTCTAGCATCTTGATTCAATCTGTCGACTAAAATATTTTTAACCATTTCCGATGTAATCGTATTGCCGTTTTCGTCCACAGCTCCTTCTGAAACAATTATAATATTCAGCCTTTTACCCATTTCTCTTGCCAATGACACGTTTTTGCATAGTTTTTCCGGCCAATCCAATTTCTGTGGCCATTCTTTGATGAACATGTAGTCTGCTTCGCACATCAACGCGCTTTTGATGGCTAGATAACCACAAGTGCGGCCCATGACTTCCATTATGAACGTTCGTTGATGGGAAAACGCGGTGCTTGCGATGGAATCAATCGCTTCAATTATTCGGTGTAGCGCGGTGTCCGCACCGATGGTCATATCAGTGCCACTGAAATCGTTGTCAATCGAGCCTACTATGCCGACCAAGTTTAAGCGAGCACACTTCTCTGAAGCTTCTTGGCTTATAAGCCCTGTATGCGAGAATTATTATCATTGATTAGTAGTATTATCTGCGTTCGTCCCGGAAACGTTTGAAAAACTATACGGTTACCACATTTCAAAAGCTCATTAACGTAACTCGACCATTCTTTACGGAAAATGTTGGCACCAAACAGTGAACCGTCACCACCGATTACTATCAAATTCGAGATATCGAGCAATATTAAGTTACGGGCCGCTTCCAATCTTCCTTCTTTAGTCATAAACTCCATACACCGTTTGGTTCCAATAAAAGTGCCACCCTTGTAATGCAAATATCATTACAGAGCAATAGAAAATTATTGCTTGATGTTTTGGAATCATACATACCAAACTCAAAATAGAAGAAACGTCAAACCAATTTGCTTTAACTATGTAATCTTCACCTGTTATAAGTCCATAATAACCTTCTTTAACTATGTACACATTCAAACCCAGCTGCGTCGATACTCTAACTACCGATCGTATAGCAGCATTCATTCCTGTGAAAAAAATAACTAACTCTTATGTATCTTTGATTTATAAAAATAAAAAAGTCAATTACATAGATAAAAATAATTGTTGTTAAAGATTTTTCAATCAAAATCAAGTTTTTAGATACCCTATCTCCCGTATTAATATTCAATAGCGTGTTGGGAAAATAAATCGGATGATTACCTTGTGAGTCTCCTCCACTAGTTAAAACTGCTAGAGATTTATTCATATTACTCTCACGAGCGTGTGACTGCAAAATTGTTTTTAAGTCGTAAGTTAACCTGGAACCAAATATTATTTCGAGTTACATGAGTTGAAATTTTACATTAGGTGCCAATAAATATTATAACTTACATATTTTGGTTCGGTGCTTTCTTACGTTAATTAAAAATAAGTTAAAAAGTTAAATTTGAAATATAAAATAAGTTTAATATTTTGTATAACTGTTCTTTATTGATTTTCAATAATACTTAGTTCAACATAGATATAATATAATGAGTACTTGTAATAGTTACCTACGTTATTATTTTCCAATGTTACTTAGGCCAACACAAATACAATAAAAAATCATAATTTTGCTAAATTTACCATTGTTGGCGTATGGAATTTGGTTAGATTTTTTATTAAGTTTTTTTGTTAAATATACATCAAGGGTGTATTGTGCCTATAAGCACTGCTTACACGTAAGAAAAAAGAAAAATAAGAAGTTAATTATGTTCTTATAATCCTAACTGGTACGAATGAATGACAAGGGGGTTCTTCTTCACAAGTTCTTATGGTCAATTTTCTGACTTCAGAAAAAAAAAAGAAATTAAAACTTGTTAAAATTATCATATTGTACTCATGTATTTATTGCATTCAAAATATCAAATATTTCAAGTTACATATAGATTAGAATACTCCTATTAAGTATTTAATTTTTACATAATTATTCTTCTTTCTTTCAAAAGTAACCATTTATCAACAAGTATTGATACACTAACACTATCCAAAATATCTTTGTTCGAGTTAGCAACATCGAATTTTCTTGGCGACCAGCAAAAGTAGTAGATCTTAAATAATTCTTCACAATTTTTAATTTACTAAATGCCCGTTTATTAGATGCTGTACGAATGAAAGCTGTAAACACCAATCGTAGCATCATGTTCACATTTGGTAAAAGATTTTTAAAAGATTCTGAGGTTTTTAATATTTTTAATAAATTTGTCATATCATTACAATAATGAACTAATATTAAAAATTCGGAAAGAATTCCATCAGTTAATTTGAATGCAGAACTCCCTGGAGGAAGTAATTAAAATATTTTTTTGAAATATTCTGCAGTATAATTAGGCTATAAAAGTGTCGAAAATTCCTGGAAAAGAGGTTTTATTGTTAATGTGTATAGAATTTTTTTAAATTCTGATCTATAAAATGTTTTCATATCAAAATTTGTATGTATACTTGAATTTGAATCCTATCTATTGGATATTAATCGTCTTCTATGAATATTATTAAAATCGTAATTGGGATCAATTCCTAATTTACAAGTAAATTGTATTGAACTTTCTACAAGATTATTCATGCCTACATCTTCGTTATTAATGTCTTTTAAAATTTCAATAGTATTATTTAATAACATTAATGCATCAATTACATTTGGATATATTGCTTCAATATCTATTATGTCTATAAAATAAGTAATTAAAATTCAAGTGCTTTTAATGTTAACGAATATTTTTATTATCATCGTCCATCACTATATCAATTTATAGATACTCTACAGATATTCAATTTGACATATATATAAAAATTATAAGTGCCAAAAAAGAGCAAAACAAGAAAGAAATAAAGTGATAGCGCAAAAATGCATATTTATTAACGAACAGCAACAAATGAAATAAGGTGGGCGAATTTCATTATATGATTTTTTAAAATAAACAAAAAAAAATATGCATGCCATAAAAATTTAATTATACATACATATTACAAGACAGCATACAAACTACAAACATTATCGATCATGAGGTTAAGCTACCGATAAAATACGTATAGTTGTCATAACACGTATAATAGTTATTATACGATTAACGTATGTATATTATTGTATGGATATGTATATAATATATACATACTAATACATAATAATATATACTATATATAGTATATTATAGTGCACATAGAAGGTATATAAAATAAATTGCTATAATTTGTACTATAATGTATAATGTATCTAATCGGTTTCGCTGCAGATTGTTAAATGTTAATTTTTTTCCCCAAATTTACCATACATATCAATATATACAAGTAAAAAAAGATTAATTTCACCGCAATTTACCATCTCCCATATCTTAATACTCCAAGCTATGCATTTTATTTATTTATTTCTAAATATAAATTATATATTTATACATGAATACAATACTTTGAAACATCCTCCTTAAATCAATATTTAAATGGTTTTGTTGAATAGGTGATGTAATATTTAACAAATATTTATACTATTCTTTCCGCAAATTCTAAATATTCATTTAATAGATAGATACGGTAAACCATATATAATTTTTAGAAAATATCGTTAATCAATGTTATAACACAAATTACACGTTTTTAATTAAATTTTTATCCGTATTGGCTAAAAAAGCTTAAATATTGAAACGTAATTATTAGTTTTCTATTATTATTTGTTTATTTTCGTACAATCGTTTTGCTGGACTATAATTATCTGTCATCCATCTTCACGATTTCTGTATCAAATAATAGTAAATATTTTCAACTGTATCATCATGCGTGAAATTTGTCATTTGCAAGCCGGTCAATGCGGAAATCAAATCGGTGCTAAAGTAATATACAATTTAAATTTAAACATTCTTGTAAGATATGGAATACCTAATGATCATACACACACATAATTAAGATGGCCTGTATACAATGTAACAACATTACCAACTAATGTAACCCCCTTATTGTTTTTAGTTTTGGGAGGTGATCTCTGATGAACACGGTATTGACCCAACCGGTTCATACCATGGAGACTCAGATCTTCAACTGGAACGAATTAATGTGTACTATTCCGAGGCACTTGGTAAAACAGAAAACAAAAAAAAAATAATTAATAATAAATTGATTGGGGAGGAAAATTAATGTTTCGTTACAACTGCACTGTTCATGACGTTATAAAATATAATATTAGGTGGCAAGTATGTACCCAGAGCGATCCTCGTGGACTTGGAACCGGGCACCATGGATTCCGTGAGATCCGGTCCATTTGGTCAGATATTCCGGCCGGACAACTTTATTTTTGGGCAATCCGGCGCGGGCAACAATTGGGCAAAAGGACATTACACCGAGGGTGCCGAATTGGTGGATTCCGTGTTAGATGTAGTTAGGTAAATTGTTTAAAATTAACCACCGACCGTCTCGAGACAGTAAATCAATTGTAGACAAACATTTTTTAAAAAAAATATTACTTGGATTCTCATTTACATACTGTATCAAATGTATTGGGTTTCAGGAAAGAAGCGGAAAGTTGCGATTGTCTCCAAGGGTTCCAACTAACCCATTCGCTGGGCGGAGGGACCGGTTCCGGTATGGGCACGCTTTTGATATCGAAAATACGTGAAGAATACCCGGACCGCATCATGACCACATACAGCATAGTCCCTTCGCCCAAGGTATATAATCGTGGGTCCTACTAATGCGGCGGGGGGGAGGGTTGTTCACGTGATTTTCTGTTGACCGTGCTCATTTGGACGTTATAATGTAATATACGAACAATCGCGTTATTAATTAATTGATCGATGTACGTAACGACGTTGGAAAGATCATCGGAAAAGGATACACGTAGTGAACGGTTTTTCGATAGTTTTTTTTTACTAACAGTATTTTTGTCTTACAGGTGTCCGACACCGTGGTGGAACCGTACAACTCTACGTTGTCCGTGCACCAGCTGGTAGAGAACACTGACGAGACGTTCTGCATCGACAACGAGGCGTTGTACGATATATGCTTCCGGACGCTGAAGCTGACCACCCCCACGTACGGTGACTTGAACCACCTGGTGTCCGCAGCCATGTGCGGCGTGACCACGTGCTTCAGGTTTCCCGGGCAACTGAACACGGATCTACGGAAACTGGCCGTGAACATGGTGCCGTTCCCGCGGTTGCATTTCTTCATCATCGGATTCGCGCCACTCACGTCCCGCGGTAGCCAGCAGTACCGCGCGCTCACCGTGCCGGAGTTGGTGCAGCAGATGTTCGACGCGAAGAACATGATGGCCGCGTGCGACCCGCGTCACGGCCGGTACTTGACCGCGGCCAGCATATTTCGCGGCCGTATGTCCATGAAGGAGGTGGACGAGCAGATGCTCAACGTGCAGACCAAGAACTCCAGCTACTTCATCGAGTGGATACCGAACAACACCAAGACAGCCGTGTGCGATATACCGCCGCGCGGCCTCAAGATGTCGGCCACGTTTATCGGTAACACCACGGCCATCCAGGAGATGTTCAAGCGCGTGGCCGAGCAGTTCACGTCCATGTTCCGGCGCAAGGCGTTCTTGCACTGGTACACCGGTGAGGGTATGGACGAGATGGAGTTCACCGAGGCCGAGGCCAACATGAACGACCTGGTGTCCGAGTACCAGCAGTACCAGGACGCGACCGTCGAGGAGGAAGGTGAAGGGGACGAGGACGAGGATGCTGAGGCGTGAACAATAACATTGCGATTCCCAACCGTTCCTTTTGTACGCGCGGACATATGATGTCTGTGCAATAATGCGTTTGAAAAAAATAAATAAAAAATCAACACGAGATTCAATAAATATTTTATAATGAATTGCGCGAAAACGGAACGATACGGACATGATACTATTATGATGAATCACATAACGCTTGTACCTTCTCAACTTTTCTCGACATGTTCGTTAGGGGATGATAAACTGTGGACAATTTACCTTTTTTCTAAAGAGCGATGGGTAATTTGCGGGCAAAAAAAATGTTTAAAATGTATACAATATGCGTCAAAACCGATTATTATAAGAACATTGACAATTTATTTTCTATACCAACTTATACAAATATTTTTCTATATTATTTCCATGCGTGATGAATACATTTTTCAGAACTTCTAGATTTATCCAGTAATAGGCTGTAGGTATTAGTAAAATATAATAGTTAAAATAATATAATAATAATATAATAGCAGTACGTCTTGTTTCCGATGTATTATGAATATGCTGATAGAATCCAGGGTCATATTCGTTAGATATCTAGGGAAACGTTAAGAAAATATTCATGGAATGTACTTTTAATATATTTAAGTATACTTTTAATATGTATTGCATATGTAATATACCAATGGTACATAAGATAGGTAAAGCATAAGCTGTATAAGATTATCAAAAATGTTCTACGAGATGTCTGTTAAAATGTAGGTATAATTTATTGTTACAAATCTTTTCCGTCATAAATATATAAATACAAAAAAACCCTATACAGTTTAATGCTTTTAAAATCTGTTCAGAACGTCTTGTTGGCAAAACCCATAACTCGGATGGACTATCGACTTGTCGATTATCTAGAATATTCGAAAACTTCTCTTTTCGGTGCACCAATCGCCCAACCTAGGTTACCGTGACCGGTTATTACGGGTTTTAGTATGTCGCCGCTACGAGTTAGTTATCGTTCTAATAGTTATATTGTTAAGTCGGTCCCACATGACTTGCAACATCATGAGTTCCAATGCTTTCGTGTAAGAAAGTAATGCGTGATAAAATTGCCTAATAAACTACGAAAATGATGACAATTCCTAGGCAATGATATAATTTCCTTCCGCTACTAAGAATTGTCATCCTTTCCTAAAATGTCCACATTTCCGGTAACAGATATAAAACAATTTAAACTCGAATTCAAAATATTTTTTTTAATATTTTTTAGTAAATTTCTTTTTTATTTTTATATTTAAAATAATATATTAAGAATATATTTGGATTTCCCATGATGAATGAACGCGATATTGAAATAAGTTTTACTGAGGATTTTATGTCTATCAAGCCTGATGATGAAAAATTAAATCAGTTTATGGATTATCTTGTAGAAAACTATATTGATCAACAGTCAGACTTCCCTCCTCACACATGGGCAGAAATGAACGGTAGCAGTGAGCGAACAACAAATGCGTGCGAAAGCTTCCATTCAAAATTTAATTCATGTATTTACACACCTCATCCGGACATATATTCCTTCTTGGAAATATTAAAATAAATTCAAAAAGACACAACAATTTTAATACAAACTTTCAATCATATACCTAAAAATATTAGATCAGTCAATGAAAAAAATATTAAATTCATTGAAGAAAATATACAAAAATACAAAACTGAACAAATTTCTAGATATGATTATGTGAAAATCATGGCATTGAAAATTCAACCAAAAAAATAGTTAATATTAACCCATTATTTTAAAAACGGATGTAAGCCTAAATAATTTAATTTTACTATACTATTTATACATATATTCACTAACTAAATATTTTTGAGGTGTAAGTTCATCTCCTCGTGGTGCACCTTGGGTATCTTTAAATGAACTGGGACGCACTTGAGCTACGTCAAAGTAGTGTAATGATGTGCATCATTCGACTGTTAAAGACGGCACAAATATTTTATTATGTATACAATATATATTTTTAAATTCTTTCAAATAAATAACGGTATCTTCGATACCCGCACGAACGACACGGGTCGAACAATAGTAGTATTGACATCCCTACATTAAAAGGACAGGCCCAAGGTCCATGCCGCGGCATGTGCCTATATAACAGGGACACACACACAGAGTCCTTAATCTTAGATCGTCAGTGCATGCGCACCGATCATAAGATCAACGACGGGACACACAGAGTCATTGGTCTTAGATCGTCAGTGCATGCGCACCGATCATAAGATCAACGACCAACGATTTGCATATTTACATACGCGATTTGTTTTGAATCATTCAAGTTTAACTCAAATAAAAGAAAAAAAAATATTGAATCTGTTCGACTTGCGTTCTTCGTACGAGTGTTGAAGAATACCCAGTTCTGGTGCCATTAAAATTTGCATTTGTTCTTTCTTGTTCAACCTCACGTCGACATCAGAAGTTCTACGGCGAACAGGTAAGTGCTGTTTTATTTAGCTTGGCAGACTGCACAATTGCACTGATCGGCTCTCGAACCTTCTCAACCCCGAGAGCCCTCCCTTAAACAAGGAGGAAGGTAATAACCCATCGCATCACACCTACCACACCTATATACCCTACTTTATTTCATTTTTGTACTTTTGGGTTATTACAGTAGTGACCTTTTTCTC